AACCCCTGGGCAAAGGGGATCGCCTCTTCGTCACGCGGATTTACGACGAAGGTCCGAACGCGCCCGCCCACATCCGGGCCATGCAGAGCGTGGCCACCAAACTGGCCGCCGCCGCCCACGCTGCCGAGAAGCCCCGAACCACCGAGGAGAGCGTACCCGCGCACTACCTCGAGGAATTCAAAGAGGTTTTCGAAAAACAGGACTTCGACAAACTCCCGGAACGGAGGAAGTGGGACCATGCCATTGAACTACACCCAGACGCCGAACCCGTCAAAGGGCGCTGCATTCCCCTATCAGGAGAGGAACAGAAAGAGCTTGACGCATTCATCAAGGAACATTTGGCAACCGGGCGGATTCGGCCCTCGAAATCCCCGTTACGCATCCCCGTTCTTCTTCGTCAAGAAGAAGGACGGGAAATTACGGCCCGTACAGGACTACCGGAAGTTGAACGAGATCACCATCAAAAACCGATACCCGATACCGCTCACATGATGGCGAAGCTGCCGATCGAGGCGGAACCAGAGGAGGACGAGCTACCGAAGTTACCCAGAGAAGCGAGGCCTTTTGGCTGACGACGAGCGGGAGAACGGATACAGCGAGGTGAACAAAAACTTCTACTGACCATATAATTCTTACAGCACGTTAATCTTACCCCACTTCACGCCGACGCCCCAAGCACCCACGGCTGAAAGGGCACGATATCGAGGACAAACAAACAAGAGTGGGGACAGGAAGGAGAGAGGAGAGAGCAAAGGATTATGGCTACCATACACATGATGTAAAGGCCAAATAACAGGACTAAACAAACAAACAAACAATACCGCTCATATCGGACATCATGCATAAGTTACGTAACGCCCGGTGGTTCACCAAGCTCGACGTACGTTGGGGATACAACAACATCCGCATAAAAGAAGGCGACGAGGAGAAAGCCGCGTTCATTACCAATCGGGGCCTATTCGAACCACTTGTGATGTTTTTCGGCCTCACCAACTCCCCGGCCACGTTCCAATCCATGATGAACGAATTGTTTTCCAACCTGATTTCCCAGGGTCGCGTGATCGTGTACCTGGACGACATCCTCATATACTCTAGCGACCTCTCCGAACATCGCGCAACGGTGAAAGAGGTCCTACAGATCCTGAAGGACAATCAATTGTACCTGAAACCGGACAAGTGCGACTTCGAGGGGAACGAAGTTGAATACCTTGGTGTGATCGTCGGGAATGGGCAACCGCATGGACCCGATCAAGGTCGCTGGCGTGCGCGAATGGCCCCGGCCTCGTAACCTGCGAGAGGTTCAAAGCTTCCTGGGGTTCCTCAACTTCTACCGACGATTCATCAAAGACTTCGGCGCGTACGCCAAGCCACTGACCCGGCTGACCCGAAAAGACAGCCCATGGAAATGGGGACCGGAAGAAGAGGAGGCCTTTCAGACCTTGATAGACCGGGTCACGGATGAACCCGTACTACACTTCCCTACGGATCACGGGGCATGGCGGGTCGAAGCGGACTCTTCCGATTTCGCCACCGGGGCCGTCCTTTCGCAAGAGCAGGAGGGGAAGTGGGTCCCGATCGCATTCCTCTCCCGAGCTATGAACGACACCGAGCGCAACTACGACATCCATGACAAAGAAATGCTCGCTATCATGCGGGCCCTTACCGAGTGGCGACATTATCTTCAGAACGGGGGAGATAAGCCGTTCAAATCTGGACCGACCACAAAAATCTGGAATACTTCATGACGGCTAAGAAACTGAACCGGCGGCAGGCACGATGGTCTCTCGAACTGAGTGAGTATCACTTCTCTTTGTTACATAAACCGGGGAAAACGAACGGGCGGGCCGACGCGTTATCCCGACGAAACGGGTACGACAACGGAAAGGAAGATAATCAGGACATCGTCCTACTTCCCTGGGGGCTATTCAAGGAACACGCGATCCGCGCTATGCTGACACTAGAGCATACGGAGGGCGACGGGCTGATGGACTCGATCCGGCGGGCCGAATCGGCCACTGAGGAAAAGGTCCTCAAGCTCTGGGAAGACGGAGAACCGGAAGGCTGGGAACAGCACGACGGCTTCAAGACTCGAACGGGCTGGTATACGTACCCCGGCTATGGGACTGCGGCATCGAGTGCTACGGCAACACCATGACATCCCTATCGTGGGACACCCGGGGTGGCATCGAACCCTCGAGCTGACGACCCGCAACTACTGGTGGCCGTCCATTCAAGCCGATTGCCAGGCATACGTGCACGAGCCTGCCCGTTGTGCCAACGAACGAAGATATTCCCGAGACGCCCCGTAGGAACCTTGGTCCCGAATAGCGTGCCGACTCGAGTTTGGCAGCGCATATCAATCGATCTGATCGTTCAACTACCCGAATCCTCCGGGTACAACGCCATTCTCGTAATCGTAGATCGACTGGGTAAAGGGATACGCGTACTCCCATGCACGGGAAACATCTCCGGGGAAGGAGTCGCTCGACTATACCGCGATCACGTCTGGAAAGATTACGGATTCCCAGAGGAGGTAACTAGCGACCGGGGCCAGCAGTTCATCGGGCATTTCATGAGCGACTTGAGCAAATTGCTGGGAATCAAGATTCGATCTTCATCGGCATATCACCCACAGACGGACGGGCAAACAGAGCGTGCAAATATGGAGGTCGAGCAATACCTTCGAACATTCTGCAACTTCCAGCAGAGCGATTGGTCAGACTGGCTTTCCCTAGCAGAGTTCGCGTTTAATGACAAGGTTAACTCTTCAACGGGATTCTCGCCCTTCTTCCTCACGTTGGGATTCCACCCGAGAAAGGGGTCCGAGGCCCCGCAAGAGGTCCCGACCGAGGCCGCTACGGTGTTTGCCGAACGAATGAAGGAAGCCCGGGCCGATGCGGCCGAAGCTATGAAAGAGGCCCAGGAAACGATGAAGAGATACTACGACCCAAAGCACTCTCCGGACCCGAATTACGCCGAAGGGGATAAAGTTTACCTCCAGGGGACGAATTTGACCAGCGATCGACCCTCAAAAAAACTGGATGACAAGAGGTTCGGGCCATTCGAAGTTAAGCGCAAAGTGGGTAAAACATCCTATGAACTGGTGCTACCCCCAACTTGGCGCGTAAGCCCCGTATTCCACACGGCGCTATTACGACCCTGGAACCCCCCCGTAGCGGATCATCAACGGGCCGCCCCACCACCCCCGGCAGAAATGCGGGACGGCGAGCCTCACTACGAAGTCGAGGCCATCTCGCTCGTACGAAAGCAAGGACGACACCGCCTAAGATACCTAATTCAGTGGAAAGGCTACCCTCGGGAAGAGTGGACGTGGGAATTGCGGGACAAACTGGAGGGCGCAGAAGAGGCACTCGAGGACTTCTATACTCTCAACCCGTTCGCGCCCCCGAAAGAACTCATAAACGGCCGATGGAAAATCCGAAAGCAAGACCAGGGGACGCGGACCCATAGGGCGTCGAGGCGCCGCCCACAACGGAGGGGGGTGATGTCACGGTTCGGGTCGGGCCGTCCGGGCCGTAAGGCCGCACGGGCCCGAACGGGCCCGCACGGGCCCGTATACCGCCCGTCCTCCTGGACGCCCCCTCATTCTTCCAACCCCTTCCGTTCACCCCTACGACCCTGCGCAGCGCCCATCCGATCCGCCCTGGGGCCTAGCGCCCATCCGATCCATCCCTAATACCGTAGCGTATAAAAGTCGTACTTACAAGATGTAGTCGCTAGGCTAATATCGTCTATTCTCCGGGCGAATACCCATCTCTCGTGCTCCTCAGACCTCTCCGAAGTCGGACCCCCCGACGCCCCGATACGGCCCGAGCCCGACGCTGACAGAGAGCACCTTTAGGCTTTGGGGAGGAAGATCAGGACAGAGGAAGGAAAAGAAGGGCTGGCGGCGGGGATTTATTGAGCCTGACGAGATATGTCTCTAGCACTGCTAAGCAGGTTGCGGACACCTTCGGGTGAGCTCTGCAACTTGTGCTTGAGGAGCTCGCCAACTTATACCGCCAGAGCCGCCGCAATGTTGACTATATTGGCCTCGTGCTTGACTTCGACAACAGGGATGCTGCTTAGTTGGCCAATCTGGACAACAACAGCTATGGCCTCAGCAGCCTTGCTGATTGTGCTTACAGTGGAAGAAGCGTATAAGAAGTGTGGTAGTAAGGTAGGGGTCGTGGGAACCCGCACATTTAGTCAGCTGATTAGGATGGTCTTAACAAATGCTAGGCCCAATAACTAGATAATATCTACTTTTTATATTTGGTCAAACCTGGAATGATGGCGCTGTCACAGCTGTGACTCCACTTAAAAGCGTGACAATCAGCATCACATGTTGTTGTATGTGATGATTGATTTTGACCAATCTTGTAGGGAATTATGACATACAAATGGGTTTCATTCATGTCACAATAGAGTCTTGGAGTAGATTCCAGTCCATTTATAAATTATTAGACAGATCAGACTACTTCTAATTTAGGTGGGTCACACTCGGTGATGGCCTTAGGGTCAATTGATGTATGACTAAATGTGCGGGGTTCCCACGACCCCTACCTTATTAATATTGGAGCGGTCATGTATATATGTAGTATCCTGCAATAATATCTGTTTTTTTTTTGTTCATTTGCATTCAGCTAATTAAATCACTGGCAGAACTATTGGGTGGCTTGTGTCTATCCTACCAAATATACTATATGGTGTTTCCCTGGATGTCCAGCTGGACCCAGAGTGAATCCATTTGCGACCAAACATGGTAACCATGTGGCGCTGATCCGGGAACCAGCTGGGCATCAGATGTATCCACCAGGAATTTTCCGGTAGTCATACTAGTATGTACATATGTCTCCCAAAGTCACCGGCAGTCTAAGTAACTCGCGAAATTAAAATTAGGCCAAGAAGTATCATCTAATACGAGTATGTAAGTATACAACAAGAAATACAACTATCAAAAAGTGTACGATACAGGTCCGACGCGACAACACGACAACTTATCGCTCGCACCCACGCACGGCACTCTCCTCGTACCCACACGCGGACGCGGACTCGGAATACCGGCGTGGGCGATGCGGGTCCCATGATGCTGCCATCATTGTCGGGCTCGCACGCAGACGGGTGCTCTCCGATTCGTCCATATGAACAGAACCCCTACGCGCAGAGAGTGGATACGGATGCGACCGATCACGCGGCGAGCTGGTCATTGGCGAGTGCGGTGGCGTCGAGCGTTGGAGGGTCGCTTTTAATGTGAGCGCATCGCCAGATGAGCAGCTGGAGAAGGTCGACGCGCAACTGGAGCCGGGCCGCGCGGCGACGGCATTGGCTGCGGCAGAGAGAGCGATAGAATGGTTGCGATAGTGCCGACGCATGTTGCTGTTCACGTTGAACGCGCGGCCGCAGTTAGGGTATGGGCAGCGGAATGCTGTTCCAAAAGAAGAACAGTCGTGAGCAATGATTAGTCACAAAGACGGTTTGGACGTACGAGTGGCGCCCGTATGGGTATTGACGTGTATGCGCAGGCTGCTGGGCCGGTTGAAGCGTTTGCGACACTGCTGGCAGACGTGCTTTCGTGTGGTCGTGCTCGTTGGTGATGCGCCGGCAGAGCCTGTGGACGCCGGGCTTGGCGGCGCCTCGATGTCGTTGTCAATGTCGTCAGCATCGTCATCTTCCTCATGGTCCACTGGCATCTCCCCATCGTCGTTAGTCAAATGCGCATTGCCATCCGACTCGTCGTCTTCGAGCTCACGTTCCCCGTCCCTGCCCGTGGTCATCGGAGGCTGTGCCTTGTTGTGTGGTTTGGGCGGAGGAGGAGGACTAGTAGGCATAGGTGAATCAAAGGCGAAGCGCCGGGTGAGCGGGCTAGGGAGTGGCCCAGGCAGATAGTGGTTGCGTGGTGGGAGACGTGTGCTCCCCAAGAATGGTTGTGGCTGTGAGGGCCTTGCTGACGTCGAGAAGGGTAATGGCGAGGAGGGAGCTGGCATGAGGTACTCGGGGAACATTTCATGGATGCTGGGTAGGACGACGGTCGGCGAGGTCGCAGAGGCCATGACTGGCAGAGACAAGGCAGGACAAGACAGAAAAAGGGAAGAAAGCAAAGGGCGGACTTGAAAGAAGAGACCGGGATCGTCAAAGCCACCCTCCCTTATAGCGCCTACGCTTACGAACACCTCGCACGTTAGCTCAAGCACGCAACACGGCAGGGCAGCAAGGCAAATTACCGCGGACTGTAAGGGAAGCAGTGAGAGTGAGCGACAGCGGCGTTGACGCTGTCAAGCGGCGATTGGCGACCTAAAGGGGATCCGCGGTGGATTACTGTTCTTGGGAACCGAGCCAGTGATCGCCGGCCGAAACGCGGCCAGCCCGGTGATGACTCATCTCTTTTCTTCCACGACGACGACGACAACGATTCAGCACAACGGAAGTTGTAACACCAGGTGCAACTCATTCAGTACGGCTCCATAAGCCCAGTTATCACAGTCCATCACTCACGGTGCGCGTCTCCGCCCGAATGAATCACACCTTCAATACGCGCTAAAAACGCCAATCTTTGCGGTTGCCCGCGCCATATCCAGCGTCTGATTCTTGATCGCCTCGCTGTGTACCTGCATCCTGCGTTCATCGTTCATCCTCGGGGTCTACTCGCGGGTCGCCCACTTCCATTCGCAGGCCCACCCTACCCAGGCAGCGGACGCCCGAGGCCGACATTATACCTCTCTTCTCCAGCTTGGGTTCATCTGCCTTCCTCCAACGCCTGCCGAGCCCGTGCGCCAGTCGGACCCCGAACAGGAAACCATTCGGAATACTTTATTCACGGCGATCCGATGTCGATTCCGGCGGGTGCGTTGTCGCTGTGACCTATGATGCCCGTGATTGATAATGAGTACCTTACACAGATGCTCACCGTGGCCCATTTACCGTGCTCCCGGTTACCCGACCAACATCTCCACGAACACGAACACGGGCACACGGGCAAGACGCGTCCCGCGCGGCCGGCGACAAGACATTTCGCCTGAACGTTATCTAGCATGAAAAGCTTGTCAACCTTGTAGGCTGTTCCTTCCAGTAATGGAGCCATAGAGCTCTCGCAGACGGCTCATCAGGCATCAGATCGTCTGGGACCTTAAGATCGACGGTTGACGCTTGACGCTTGACTTGCATGCACCGACTGCTCCAGAAAGCATCAATACCCACGCAATTGTATAGTTGCTAAATGGCGCCGCCCCCTGCATGCTTCCTGCGGATCTCATCCCGCGCATTCTTCATTGGCCAGTACCCACCAACAGTACAACCGGCGCGACATCTATCTCAGCAGCCAGTCGGCGCCTAATAGATCGTCCTTATCAGCCGCTCAGCGGAAATCAGCCGTCAGTCAAGGTCATTCAATCCACTCGGCGCCGACCATTTGCATTGCGTCGCAATGGTTGAATGTTGTGCTATGTATTAGGTCCGGTAGGACGACAATCCCGACGACGTTGATTTCCGTCTACCGGCGGAGATAAACGTCTGCTCCCATGGATATAATAGATAAATCGGCACGTAAGTTCCTCCTTATCAGCCCTGAGTATTGTACTTATTGTCAGCACGCAGAGACAGGCGCTCCTGCGTCACCGGTAAATCGCCGATCCCTTGTGCCCTCGATTGCGTCATTGGGCTAAAACTATGCCTGGCCATAGTGGAGCGACGTAAGGGTACTAGCTAGCTTCTAAGCGAGGCGAGCTGCGGCGAGCTGTTTTGAAGATCGACGGAAGCGACCAGACGACAATTCATATACCTGATCGGTGTGCGGCAGGCAAGTGAATTTACCTCCTGGAAAATCATACCCATATTAATCAGCCGCCTAGCTAATTATTCCTGTCTTAATCCGCACTGGAATCCCGAGGAGCAGGGCGTTCTTCCAGTAGCACGCGGAAACAGAGCGCACCGACGAGTACGGAGGCGTCGCTGTCAGCAGGCCAAAAGGCTCCAGCCTAAGTCTGCGGGAATCCGGGCTGGGCGGTTCTCCCCTTTCCCGCTGCGTTTCCACGCTCCCGATAGCAACACTCGGGACGGCTGTAGCTTGCAAGCCGAGGGAGGGTGCGACCACGCCTTTCTCCAAAAGGGCACTTCTCCCGCGTACTTTCCGGCGAATAGAACGGGTGCCGACGGGGTCAATCTACGTCGCTGTGTTGGTGAACCTTGAGACGTATTGGCAGTCTTGGTAAGTGTACGTGGAAGAAGCCTCACGATTTGAACCAGAATCGTGTGTTTATGCCGACGGACGACACAGAAAGATAACGCAGATGAAAGCCACGGCGCGCTCAGACGCCACCAGCACCCACTGGCCGACGTAAAACCCAGTCCAATGGCTCGCCTGACAGCTGGCGTCGAAGCCTCGAAGGAAATCAGCTGGCGCCGGAAGGACCAAGACTGAGGATCCCTAGACGTGGCGAGCTTCTGTGGCGGGGAGAGTTAGGTCTTTTGAGTTACTGCTAGTAAGTTTCTCCGGCGAATAAGGAAGTCGGACGCGCGCGGGAAGCGCGTGCCTGCGTGGAAGCTCCACAGTTGCAGGGTCATTCTGTTCGCTGAGTAGCCTGAACCGTATGACTAACTGTCTACAGGCGGCGTGGTGGCAAAGGTGCCACTAGATGCACTGGCAGCACAATGAATGGTTTCTTTTCGGCTAGCTGGAGCTCACCAAACAAGCCCGTACTACTAGTGTCGACCTTCCTCCCACTGGCAAGCATGAATTTGATGGCAGTCGCCGTGATCAGCGCACCGACAAGTCGCTCCTGACAGCCAAGCGCAAGCGTACACTTATGCACATAATCTTCCTCTTTCACTTCCTTGGATGCCGGATTCCGCAGAGCGATCACTGAAGCCTAAACATGCTCAGGGAGGACTACAGATTGTATTATAATTGAAACGGACCAAACCAAGAATGTGAATAAATTGATTATATAAAATATATAGGAAATAATAAAACAAACATATCAGCAGACACTGCCAGACAGACCAGAATTACGACTAATTGTCAATTCTCAGAAATAATTTTTGAATATGCTCATGAGTATTTTCTCATCAAAATGTCTAAGCTTTTCAGTTTTCCAGCTAAAATGTGGCTGGCATTCACACGGTAAATTTAAACCTTCCATTTCCCATAGAAACATGAACACAAATGTCACCTTTTAATATACAAATACTAGACAGGGCTGGGGCATAGCCCCAGCTTTGAATATTACTTGAAAGTGAATTTTTAAACAATAACCCTCTTAAATATCTGGTCTACTATTATTGACATAGATTGCAACCCAAGTCAGTAAACTTCATATACTTACTTATTGATTCATGGGAAAATTGAGAATACTTAGTATATACTTAGATTTCAGCATGGTAAACAGCCCTAGATATAATGTTTTTATGGTACTGGGTGCAGGATATCATATATAGCTTTGTATTCCAATTAGGATTGGTCATATCTTACAGCTTTTGTTACCAATTTGGGGCTTTAACAGTAGTAACCCCCCCAAAAAAGGAAATGTGGAGCAAATAAATTGCTACACCATCAACCCATTAGCAGATGAGTGTGAGGTCCTGCAGTTGGCTCAGTGGGATGATGGTACTGACATCTCACAGATGTCCAGAGACATCTACCTGATGTCGGTGCTTAGACTTTTCATGATGTGTATTAGACATCTATGCAATCTCAGCTTTTATCTCAATTTATTGTCTTGCTTAGATATCCAATAGACTGCAATAAGTGGACTTGAGTACTTATTAACACATTCTCATTCCATGTCATAAATTTACAAATGTAATAATATCTACTTGTGGGCCCGGGCCCGAGCACCAGTGTGTGTTATAAGTTCAGTACTAACTGCTGCCTTACTCCCCCTTGGCACATAAATCCCCATTCATGTCTTCCTCAGAAGAGATCACAGGTTGTTACTTCATGCTCTTGTCACTGTTTACCTGTCACAACCGGTTTGCAAGATCCTTGATGGCAGTCATGCTCGACAAAGCAGACAAATTGAATCGCTCCAGGCTCCACGATGACGTATGACAACATTTTAGCAATGATTTCGACTCTATTTGGACACCGGATTATGGCCCAGCGGAAGTCGGGATGGACAGTGTCCGTACAAACGAACCGCTGATGAGTGCGGAGTGCGGACAGCAAATGAGCTCTCTAACCAAACTAACCCACAGAAACAACCAAACTCCACTTGTCGTAGAGAGAGATATGTATAATGTTGAGTAAGAAAAGTCACAAAACCCAAAAATCATCTTCTCCTTGTGTGAGAACAGGCCCTGTGAACAGAGCCTTGGCACAGATGTGTAAGATTGTAGGGTAGGTATGACTTTCCTTGTGAAAACTTTAATTTTGCATGCCCTAAAGCATACTATTGACGAAACTTCGCAATAGAGAAGCGCCAATATGATGCCTGGAGAGTTTATACTTGTTGGATCAGGAACTAACTGCCTTAAACTCTCGACTAGTAACTGAAACCCAATAATGTAGCAACTGGAACTCTTTTTTATTCAGCAACCAAAACCCTCAACTGATAAATCCTTCGACGCAATAATACTATTTTGAAAGAGCTAGCAAGATAGATTGACGAGCTAGATCCCAGATGCACCTGGTAGAGCGGGGCAATCTGTGAATCTCCCAAATATAAGACAGTGATATGAATACTAAAAAAATTCGATAGAATCAGGTAAAATCATGAGTAAGAAAAGTAGTCTATGCGCATAATTGTATTGGTATCATTTTGCCATATGGTCCAGAGTTGAAATTACAGGTCCAGATGACTGGTATCGTGTGTAGTGGTGTCAATGACCTGTGTGAATCTTCCAGATTCGCGACCATCTAGTTTTCCTTGTAAAGAATCCCTCGATTTTGAGTAGGATAAGTTGATAGCTCTGCTTTCCAGCTTTCAAATGACACCCATAACTTGTGTCTTGTGTGTATGACCTCAGTGGTGGTTGTCCCAACTCTTCTGGCGCAAATCCAGTGTTCAGATGACCAGTTCCTCATCAGTGTTTTAGAGTCGCCATTGATCACAGCTCCAGGCCCCAATTCATTAAGTTGGTTTCTCCGTTTAACCGTCCCTTGGCACTCTCGATCCTCCAGGGAGATCCAAAACATGTTCCAATGATGTCAGTTGTTGATACCAACAGAGATAGGGGTTTCCCTTATCTAGGAGAAAACAACAGTGCACGCCAAACCGAATATGCCTTTTAGTTTACATTCCCTTTGGGTATTTTACATAGGATTGGATAGATCCTAGCGAGCAATGGGCTCTGCGAACTTTTCTTACTCAAGATTTCAGAATTACTGAGAGCAATTTGATAGATTTCGACTGGTTCTTTGGTAGATAACTCCCTAGTTGACTATTCGGGACTCATGTCAACTGTGAGATATGCGCTGAGCAATAAAATCAACAAAATTAGTTGTTCCTGGTCTGTCCCAGACTGCGGCTTATCACTGCTCAAGCAAAATGAGCACTCTGTTGCTGACAAGAATCTGTGAAATTCAGCCCCAGATATAGTTCCCCGCAAAGTCACGGGCATAAACCCAGCTCAGTGCTCGAACGTCATCGCCATTTCTGACAGTTACTGTTAATGCTTGATGCCAGGTGCTATCACGAGAGGGTTCAGACCCAAGTCCAGCACTCCAATATGGCTCATAGCCGCTTATGGTCCATGTGAGCTGATGATTTTTCTCCAATAGCAGTCATACAGCCCCATATTCGACAAGCTTTGGTGAAACCCAGCTCAGATGGCATTGAAAGATAGCACTGTTGACAATGAATTCTCTTACTTCACAGCCCGCCTGAAGCCATTTCCTCAAACAAAAACAGACACCAATTGCAAAATGATTTCTTTTCATCCATCTCTGAGTGCTAGAGAAAGACCCTCTTTTTATCATAATGAGAGAGCAATTAAAGGACTGTTATTTTATGCAACTTTCTGTATATAACAAATTGTGATCTTTGCATGTTTGCAAAAAGGTCAAATTAAAGTTAGGGTTTGGGATGTTCCTTTTTGTATATAGTGCTGCATTGTCCGTATACCATGTTAGGATTTAGATCTGGTGTCCTCTGGTCAACCAGGAGACAATCCTGTCAGCGCCTCACATTACGCCTACTTTCCATCGGGTTCTGGTCAACAGAGTGACTATACTGCTAACACACCAAGGCACTTCTCTCATACTGGCCAGCAAGACCAGGGATGAGATTAGACCTAAACAAGCCTGAAACACTTATCTCTGGTGACGATCATGCTATTGATGGCCATCTGACAGTCGGCAAGGCTAAGAGAATGGTAGGTGGTACCACCTCAGACACAGGTGGGTATTACACTATGTGACATGGCTGACCAATGGCAAAGTTGAGTTTTTTCTTTTTCATTTTTTGACTGGTCAAGAGGTATGTAGATCTTCAGCTAAAAACATATTTCTATGGGACTCCGGGCATCACAGCATTAATCTGGGCCCTGGAAGGCCCATTCTCACATAATGTTTGACTTTTCTGATACTCTCAAAATTGAAATCTTGTCTAATTCCTTGGAAATCTCATCAGTCGTTGGCTCTTGCTGAGATCTATCAAATGATGCACTTTCTGGACCTCTGTAAGGGCAACCCTGGAGACTCCGACGAAAGCCTAGCAGGGGAGGATCCAAAGTGTGAATAAAAGCTACAGAAATATATGGAGGGACCGACCTAGCAGGGGAGGATCCAAAGAGAAGAAACTCTAAGGGTCCGCCTGCTAGGGCGCCAACTATATACTGGTCGTCCGTAACTGCCGACGTAGAGCGCAGAAGGCCTGAGCGGTGTCGCAGGCTCTGTCCCAAGGTGATCGTTGGGAGGGTCTTGATGGATCGGTGATTGTTCGGGCGAAGGAGGCCGTGGACGATGGTCGGGGTGGGTCGGAGCGTCCGAGGGGGCGCCGGTCAGATGCACCTCGGATGCGTTCGGAAGGTCCGAAGGAGGCCGAAGCGGGGGTTCCCCTGACAACCTCTGACCAGTCATGGGAAAATGTGATTGAGCTGCCTTTGGAGGTATCACCAATATCCAGGTGTAGCACAAAAGAATAACTTTCAATAACACACAAAGACATTCAAATCTTTCTGTGCCTCCTTTAGGCTATCACAAAGAACATCTTCATGATTGCATAAAAGGGGAAAGGACACAAGGAAACACCAAACTCTGGGTGATTGGTCATCCTAGCAGGGCTTGAAAATATTTTTGTAGGTAAATATATTTTCATTTTACTATACTAATATTAATAGCACTGTGCTGGGCCAGCATGTGACAATGGGAAACAGGCACCCAAGTAGAATGAATGCACATCTAGGAAGCACGCAAATATGGAAATTTGAAGCACATGACCAAGAACGACATGTTGAGCCGTTGCCGAAGGAGTAGTGCCTGGCCTGCAAGGGATATACGATTGTTCCCTCTGCAGCCAGGAACAGGGACAAGGGGGAGCAGGAGAGGCCAAGGGTGTTTAATCATCCCTCAGTGGGCCCGCATATATAAAGGCGGGATAATGCACACTATTTTCCCCAGCCATTAAGATGTAATGGCCAAACCATTCTCTTAACCCTGTCATTTTTGGCTGTTTCAACAAGAAGCCAAGAACTGTAAATTTTCCAATCGGGATAATATTCAGAGAATCAGTAATGGCCAAGTCCGATTCAGTTCAAAACAGGATTTAGCCAAACGTGAATGCCAAACGGTAGGGTGCTGTGAGTAATGCAAAATGCATTACTCACACCGGTTTCGAAACCGGTTTCGAAACACCCCCCGTTTCGAAACAGTTTCGAAACCGGCCGGCCCGGGGGGTCCGCTGACAGTTGGCAGCCGGGGACAGGCCCGGGTATCATAACCCCGAGAAGCGTACCATGGTGGCAGAGATGGCTCCACCAAGGGTACCGCAGATCATCAGCTGGTGACATCAAGTCACACATGTCACATAGGGTAGGGTGGGTCACTGGGGTGAAATTTCACTTTTTAGACTTGTGTCTGGGGAAGGTTTATGGGCATCCAGGAGGACCAGAAATGCACAGTTTTATGTTTTTAGGACTTGTTGCCAAAGAATATGGAATGTCTGAGGGCCTATATCCCTATCAGGAGAGTTTAATAATAAGTACAATGCTAAACAATGACATGTAAGCATGTCATTTACTTTCTTCTTTCCTTCCCATATGATATGTCTTAAATGGCCCTGGCATAGAATCCAATGAGCCCAGTGCTGTGTCCTGTACAGACACTGATGACAAACAATTTCCTTTTTGGGAAGTCACATGGCTTAGTCATGCTTACATCAATAGGGTAGGGAGGGCTGCCTGGTGCTTAATTCACTTTTTCGACCTGATGTCTCAGATTTTTTTTTGCGCGGTACCCTTGGGCTCCACTGCTGGGGAAACTCACCTGCTTGGCCTTCGGCAGGTGAGTGCAGGTGATATTCTTGGGGCATCAAGGAGGCCCGGGCTTGCCGGAGGATCACGTGTCGGTTTCGAAACCGGGTCGGCCGGGCCACGGCATTCAAAACTAACATGTGTTTTCAAACCGGTTTCAAAACCGTTTCGAAACCACAGTTACTCACAGCACCCTACCAAACGGCAGTTCAAACCGGCCCCAAACGGGTGTTTTTTGGCCCAAAATGGCCAAACCTGAACGCCGAATGCACATTCAGTCCGGTCCGGTTCGGGTTCAAACCAAAATCCTGAACCGGACCTGGCCATCGCTACAGAGAATCTGTAGCCATTGCCAGTTGAATCTTGACGAAAGTACCAGGCTGCTACCAGCTACCAAATTTGGATCCTGCTTTCCTTGGTCTCAAAATGACTTATAATGCCTGAAGAATCCACTGTCCACTGGCAAGAGTGATCAACTATAAGTATCAGTGTTAGCCTTGCATGTAAGATGAGGTACTCTGTCAATTTTACTATGTTTTGCTCATGTGTTATCCTTTTAGCATATTTCCTTCTAAAATTTGGTCTCAGATACCATCCTGATATGTGCTGTTGTTGATGTAATTACATGGAAATCAGTCAGAGGGAATATGGCTGAAGGGTAGTTGTCCAAGTTCCACATGGATCAGATCAATAATAGCATAGTAAATTTACCAAAAATCAGTTCTTAGCACTCATATCATATTTGACTCTTCCCTTTTGTGATAGCCCAAAAAACATTTCACAGGGGACAATTCAGGGTGCTTCAGCCTTCAATCAAGGATTCTAATATTGGTTTTTTTTAGCAAGTAGTATTGAAGATACAAATAATATAGACAATTTATGTCCACAACTGTACCAGGAAAATAAGTAGATGATCATAGTGACATGTATACAGTAGGCTTTTTTACTTTACTTTACATGTTCCATTTTCACGCGCTTGTTTATTAGAGACTGGGCGTCGACGTCGGTGTCCTTCGAGTCTCCACCGTTCACAGTCTGAGAACTCCTCTTGCGAATACCTAGCCGATTCTGATCAGTTAACAGTATGACACACCGCCCAATTGCAACGCACCGAGTATCACCTCCTTTGTATGCTCCAGCGCATCAAGGGCCGTCGCAAGCCCCTCCTCCCCTTTCCGCAGTGCAGCTTCGCGCTCCTGGAGTGCGACATGGCTCTCAGTGACAAGCTTGGTGCGAAGGGCGGTGGTCTCGGCGCGTGCGTCGACGAGCTCTTCGCCCTGCGCCTCGAGTTTAGCCTCGGCACGAGCGAGCTTCGCACGCAAATCAGCGATAAGCCTCGTTTGGCTTGCGTCGTGTGTCTGTAGCTGCGCGATGAAGTTCGAGACTGGCGGTGAGACTTCGGATGCTTGGTCGGCATCTTCTTGCCGCCACTGGTCGACATCATCATCATTCGTTAGCAATCCGCAAACTGCCCATATGGCCATTGTAGTGGACTACACTCACCGGTGGCTCTTGTGGAAGGCCTAGGAGTCTCCCACTCAGCGGGTTCGACTGTTGTCCAGATAATAAGGGATTGCCGCGTCCACCGCGTCCACGGCCACGAATTGACATCATTAAGGAGGTGAAAAAGGAGAGGGTGGACAAAAGAGGAAATTACGTCGCACGCACCGCCACATGTCATTCCACTCTCGTTCTGCGTCCATCGCGTCGGAGCGATCGACCGCAGCGAGTGACTACATACCCCGGACGCTCGAGGATGTGCGCGAGAATGCGGCGCGGGAGGTAGCGATGCGGGCCACCGCCCATAGAAGGACGGTCGATGGCGTGAGGATGGGGGTGCTAGTGGTCATGGCCAAGGCAGATGAAGTGGACTTTCTGGCACGGGTGGCGGACCGAATACGCGAAGAGCACTTACTGAAGAACGAATTTGTGCGTCGCTTGACCCTCTTGGTCCCGTATCCAGCCTTACCAGTGCAGGTTTTTGCAGTCGCGACATCTGGCACGCCGATCCGGCCAAACAAGACGAATACACTCATGATATGCGGCTCTCCCGAGCACTACGTCCAACGAGCTGTCCTACTCGCCTCATCCAAGCTGATCGGACGCGTGATGGGGACGACGAACGAGGGCCACATGTGGCTTGCCTCCGTGAAGCGGATCACCTCCTCTGGCCCGACCAGCCCCTCCACCGACGAAGCCGCGCTTTGGGACGTGCTCGTCAAGTCCTCCCGCCAGCCAATCGACCCGCTAAACCGCCCGCCAGGCTGCCTCAGCGCCGCCACCCGCCTCGCGCTCGCGCAAAGCAAACTGGAGCGTCTCACACCGCAAATGGCACTAAACGAGCTGCGCACACCGTCCGGCTTTCGTGGGGTGCAGGCCCCCACCTTCCTCGTCGACATCCGCTCGCTCTCCGAGCGCGAGCGCAGTCACGGGGCCGGAATACATGGCTCCCTCACTGTCGAGCGCAACCAGCTCGAGTGGCTCTTCGATCCCCAGAGCGAGGAACGGCTCGCCATTGCTGATCGATATGACCTCCGTGTTATCCTGTTTGACGAGGATGGCAGAGCAAGCAGTTTGGCCGCGGTCGCGCTGCAGGAGATCGGACTGTTGAACGCGACAGATATAGTTGGCGGCTTTCGCGCATGGATCGAGGCCGATTTGCCGGGCGATATTACAGGCATGGAGGATGAAGATGATTTACATTCGGAGCCGTCTGTAATTCAGATACTGGGTTGAATGTTGGATCTGCTCAAGATTCAACTTCTACTAGCCGTGCGATTGCGCTGTGGAGCTTGATTGGAGTGTAAGTACTTAATCGTGCAATCTGAAGCGCTTTGCCGGGGGAGAATTGGAAAAGTTCCGCTGGCTTTCGCTTACGGACTCGGATATCTAGAAGTTGTCAATGGGAATATCGTTGGCCAATGATCAACTAGCTACAACAGAGTACTTATTGCGTCCTTCAAGAAGTTTATGCGTTGCGGCACATCGAGCGCCATGACAAGCCAGTTTGGCTAAGATGCGGCACAGAAAGCATATCTCTCTCGATGCTGAGAGTGCTCTTTCCGCCTGTGATGATTCACATTTGTGTAATATTTCTACAACTCTGGAGTATCGTATCTACTCACATAAAGAAGACTGCACGAGTGCATAATTATTTATAAAGTTACTTCGAGGTCTTTTTGGGGCTGAAGATGCCCTCGATGACCTTCTCCAGCCCGCCAGTGAGGTCCTTGGCCATCAGCGCGGGGCACTTGAGATTCATCGACAGCACTTTCGGTGCCCGCTCGGAGATCGGCTCGATGGTCCGGCGAGGGTGCGACTTTGTGGGTGTCGACGCCGCTCCCGAGGCGGCGAACTGCTTCTCGTAGAGCGTCCAATCGTGCGAGAAGAGGGCATATTTCTTGCTCGCGTCGATCAAGCCTAGCGCGGGCTCGTCAGCTATCAATCGCAGCCTGCAGTGCCGCAGGGATGCTCACCGAAGAAGTTGGCGTTGGCGCCGACGTTGATGGAGAATGCTGCGCCGATTTTGACGCCCCCGCTGACCTGGCCTTCGGCCTTGGCGATGGGGGTGACAGCGCGGGCTTTGCCCCGGATCGCGCTGGCGAGCCTGGCGTGTGCCACGCCCGAGCCCGACGCGCTCGAGTGCAAGCGGTTGGCGCTGGGAGTCACCGTAACGACGGGGGCTTTGCTGGTCAAGGCCTGCACCTGCTTCGGGTTTACACTGCGGGACAACGACTTCAGGCTGCCCGGTTTAGCGCTCGTTGGAAGCGCGGCGGGAGCGGCTAGCTTTGCGCTAGCCGGCGTCTTGACTATCTCCACCCCGGCGGATCCAGAGGCCGTCAAGTTCAGGGCGAGCGTTGCGCTCGCGTCGGCGTTGAGGTACACGTCCGCCTTGATGAACGTGAACGCGTGCAGCGCAAGCTTCACCTCCGGGATGAGGTGTGCGGTGACTTTGGACCTGGTGCTGAAGTTTGGCGCAACGGAAAGAGAGAGTTCTGCACAATCAGGAAAGCCGCTCACATAAGAAGAAAACACATACTGCTGCCGCCGGTGTTGACCGCGCCAGAGGAAGCGCTTCGCGGTTCCGCGGGGAAGTACACTCTTGCATGGTCCGCGGTGTACGCGAGGTCAACGGCAACCGACAGGTCTCCGTCAATCTCCGCATCAAGCTGGCCGTAAATCCCGAACGAAGGCTGAATCAACGTATATCAGCTCCTATCTCAGCAGTCCAGGGGGAGAGTCAGAGCACGAACCCCAATGGAGAATATACCCGGGAAATCGAAGCCTGCGAGGGATGCATCAGTAAAAGTGTCAAAAAGTCTTTTAGATCTTTAGTCTTTACAGAGAGTCTTTGGTCTTGGGGAACAGATCTTTTCAATCTTTGGTCTTTGGCCAGCAGTCTTTGGTCTTGGAAAGCAATCTTTGGTCTTATTCTACAATGATCTTTGCAGTCAACAAACCCAAATTTTTTTGCATAGGTGTGAGAAGGTGAGGAGTATATCATAAGTCAATAGGTTTGGAAGGTCTGCAGTTTTACACAGAATTAAAAGGCTTTATTGCAACTATTGAGCTGTAAACTGTTTTCACGAGTCCCAAGTCATCCATCAAAATAAGGCCCTAATATTCCATCATGTTGCCATGTGAATGACAGATGGTTGATTGCTGTCGGCGACTCATCACCGTGTTTCTTCCTTCCTTTTCCCCTCATCTCCCGCCCCATAGGCACCCTCCCATGGCCTCAATTCCGCTCCTCAACGCTCGAAAACCTCAATTCCATCAATACACAAGGCCTTCCCCCCTCAATGGCAAGTTTTCATGCCTGACAGAGCAAGGAAGGCTGCGAATGCACTCTCAAGCCCTTCGTTCAAGTCTGAATGGCCACCACGACGGCGAAACAACTTGAAACCTAGACAGCAACATTCCACACCTTCCGAACTCGCTCTAGGTGTTCCACTGATGGTTAAGGCCATGCTCGACGTCGAAGGTGCTGTAGCTTAGCTGGAGGGGATTGCGGCTTGTTGTATGGTCGAGCCTTGGCTCTGTACGTCGTCGGTGTTCTCCTACAACATCCTCTGACTGCCTCCCAGACCTTTGTCGCCTACCGATCACTATATCATCATCGTTGCTCTGAACGCCATCGCTCAGCCAAGACTTGTTCCCCACCTACCGCAAGAGATTCTTGCCCGTTTCGCGCCATCTTCGGAGGAGCGTCCGGGACGCCCCTCCGCTTCCCGAGGACCGAAGACCGAGCTCGTCACTCCCGCCGTTCCCGCTCGTCGGCCGATGTACCAGTCAGACTGGACCGAAACCTGTCCCGCTCACCCTGCGCTCGTTCCTGGGCCAAATCCCGCCAAATTCTACCCACCTCTCCGCCTCTCCCTCCGTTCCCAACGACGTGAAAATGGCGGCCAACGACCGACGCGTTCCCGCCCGCCACAACTTCCTATTCCTGCCTTCCCTGCCTTACCATGCCACCAATTTTCGGTCCTTTTGCGCCAGAATGCAGGATTTGGCGCAGACGGGTTGCTCCTGCAATCCGTGAAGGTTTCAGCCCACACGGGCCAGCGCTTGTCTCCCGCTGACCCGCCCGCCTCTTCTGTGTCCCTCACGTTCGGGGTTGGACTGGCCGAAGCGCTTGCGTTTCGGTCAACGATTCCCGGCCCTGGCCCGGTAGAGCGGTAGTGTGAGCGTAGTTATCAAATTGTATTAGCTATATTGAATTTATTACTTTTATTCACTCTTTGCATTGCATCTTTAAGAGTCTTAGCAGGTCTTAAAGCAGGTCTTAATTGTGTCTTTTGGGATCTTTGGGAAAGATCTCAAGTCTTTCCCAAGACCAGGACGCTGCTGGAATAAGACCCAGCATCTTTTGAGTCTTTCAGGTCTTTCAGGTCTTTTTGGTCTTGCCCAAAGACCTAAAAGACCTGAAAGACTTTTGTGCACTTTTACTGATGTGTAGACCAGAAGGGAATCTTGCCCGTTGCAACAGTGCCGCGCGCGGCGAGATCGACCTCCAGGCGCCCGCCGATCTTGCCGTTCAACCCTGTGAACGTCGCGAACTCGGTGATTTTGGGAGGGATAACCGTTCCCGCGGCGATGAATCCGACGGAGACCGTTGTGTCAATGTCAGCAGAAAGGCCTGCGGAGGCCGAGACGCTATAGTCGATGCACTCGAGCGATGCCGAAAGGAGAGGGAAGCTGCGCGCAATCTTGAGGGGTGGAAGATCGATGGTGCGTGTCTTGTTGAAGTTGAACCAGCCGCGGCGCTGAATTTCGCGCCGTTCGATGTGGGAGAGCGACGCGGTGGGTGTGAGGTCCGAGGCGTTGAAGTTGTAGCCCTCGATAGAGAATTCGATGGGGCCAGTTCTGTTGATCAATCAGCGGCTTGAAAAATAACCGAGGACAAAACATACCGGGTTGCGTTGACGGCGGCAAAGTCGGTGTCGATGCTGGCGAGGAACACGGTGTGCGTGAGGTTGCCTGATCCGGGCCCATCGCTGGCGTGTGCGTGATATGCCGCGGCTTTCGCGTCCAAATCGACATCCGCGGGAACAGTCTGGTCGGCGTCACGTTTCATGGCCGCGATGCGGGCAAAGGGGCTCGCGCCGCACTAGTCACGGTCAGCAGACATGTTAGAACCGTAACGAAACCTGAGCTTACCTCCTCCGGCAGCCTCACAACGGTATCCACCGCGCCGTGGCCCTCAAACAGATGCGCACAGTCGGGGCTGTGGCACACGATGCGCACCTCTTGCGCTAGGGCCGTCGCGTTGCAGGAGAGAATCGTCCAGCCCGCCTCGGGGGTGATATCGGACACCGAATGCGAGTTGCCAGACTGTATCATGAAAATATCAGTGCAAGCGCAGAGACAGAGACGAGCGACACGCACGATGCGTAGTTTGGCGGCGCCTTTGTGGTTCTTACTGGGCTTCTGGGCTTCAAAAGAGCAAGAGCCTTTGCACGGCCCGGACTCGACGGCCGCGGCCGCGGGCTTCTGCGGGGCTCGGCATGTCCTGCGGGAGGCGGTGGTGGAGAGGACGAAAAGAGCGAGGGTGAAAACGAGTGTGGGGGCACGCATTGCGGCCGGCGGGGCGGGAGTCAAAGGGAGGAAGAGAGAGCAGCACTAGCAGGTCGCATCCTGATAAGTAAACGTCGATCCTAAAAGAAGGGAAACACATCAGCGCTGCATGACGACCGTGTGGTCCGCCATGTGGCCGACGCCAAGCCCGTGTTCTCTGTGATAAAGCACTTGAGCGCCGGCACCAGCAGTGGCATGGATAATGGGCCGAAAGTTATATCATCCGAAAAACCAGTGACACCCTGAGGCTGCCTCCTAGTAGCCGGCCCACATAAGATTTCATGGGAACCGGGGAAATCTGTTCAAAAGAATCCGTCTTGTTTTTACTAGTACGGATTAGCGCGACAGACAAGGACATACCAGTAAGTCAGTGCCTCGCGGCGACAGCAAACACCTGTTTCATTCTCCGGCGAAAGTTGGAGTCTCGTGTAAGTATCCAGCGCGGACCTGTGCTAGAAAGTCAGACATATGGCAGTCACCAACAGCACCGCAATCCTGTGATGCAGTTCTTTTTTATGCCCCCTCTCTTTACCTGCTCCCTCTTCGCCTCGTGAAAATGTGCGGCCAGACTCTCCGCCATGGAACAGGAGGATATCGCTATCCACTGGCCAACAGACAGCGCGCGGTGCCAGTGAAGCACGTCCGCCCGCTTCTCGACAACCCAGAACCTTCGCCGCTGGCTGGCGTTATCGCCCAGCTGCAAGCACACGACAAGGACCAGACGTTGGTCATCGCGGAGCTGCGATCGAGGCTCGAGAAAGCCGAGGAGAAGATAGTAGAGCAAGCAAAGAAGCTTAACGCCGCACACGCTAAGGTCGATGATCTCCACACCAAACTCGTCAATGAACAAGACGCGCACGCTAAGGGCTTGGAAGGAGCGCTCGAGGCACTCGAGCGCACCAAGGCGGTCATACTCGGTCAGTTGCGTATTTTCTTAGTATCTTCGTGACATTGAGGTGTTGAACCAGATATTCGCAAGCGTGGCGCCGAGCAAGACACTGACGATGAGGCTGAAGCTCCACCGATGAAGCGCGCCAAAACGACGCATGCAGACCCCTCAATTGACGACCTTGACGACCCCTTAGTTGACGACCTTTCAGTTGACGACCACTGGTAAAATGGGGATTTGAATTGTACGCAGCTACTATAGCAATAGCCCTGGCTCATGTCAGCTGATTGTACCGCATATATCAGTATGCTTCCCGTTGTTTCACATCCACCAGCGCGCGGACCTGCTCCACATACGGGCCCAAATCCAATGCAGCATGTCCACCATCTTGCGCGGGAATAGTCGACAGAATTTCGCGCAGACCCCGCACCATTAACGCGTCCTCGGAACGCAACAAATACACCCGCGAGTCGACCTCCGGCGCATAATGCCGGACTTTCATGATGTGTAGACGGATGCGCCCGCGGGTGTTCTCCTTCGCGCGTTCAATCTGGGTGTCATAGCCGGGTCCTTGCCACGCGATGGTCTCGATTTCCGAGTCATCGCTATCCACAACACTCTCACTAGCTAAAGTGTCACTTTGTACTGCCCTTGGAGGAATTATTTTTTCACTTTCCCCTCACTTTCCCTCACTTTATACTGGTTATCTGTGCAGGATGTCTCAGTCAGAGTGAACTCAAAAGGTGAGAGTGAAGTCACTGCAGTGAAGGTGAGAATGAAAGTAATCATAACCTTGACAACACTGTGTTCCACAATGATTAGAAAGTGAAGTGAAGGTGTCAGAATGAGAGTGATGAAGGAGCAAAGATCATACATAGTAACGCACCGATGAGAGTAGAGTGAAGGTGAAGGTTAGAATTAACCGTTACATTATAAATATGTCAGATTTGGTCATTACAGAGTCGTGATATTACTCGAGGGAGGGCGGCATATTCACAGTGAAAATGAAACTGGAAATGAACTGGCATGGCACAGCTACAGGTCACTCGGTGAACTCGTCATCGGTGATCACTTTGCGAGCCAGTAACAACGAACGCTAAAGGTGTTCAGATCATGATTATTTGAGTCTTAAAGCACATACCAATTCGTAAACAACCTCATATTCATCGTCCCAACTATAGCCTGGCGGCAAGTCCCTCCCTTTAGGAACGAAGTAGCTGAGGTGTTTTGCGTAGGGGATGTTACGACCGGGAACTTTTCTGTTGTCAACCGTAGCTGTTCCACGACGTGGACGCTTAGCCGTGTGAGCAGGTGGCGGAGCATCCTCCGCTCGCTTACGCTTCTGTTGCTTAACAGGCTTTGGCGGCTTCGGGGATGGCGGACTCGGTGTCAGAGGAGAGGATGGTGGTGAGCGAGTATCCTTCCGAGTATTGTTGTCAGCAGGCGGCGGAGTTATTGGGGGCTGCACAGGTTCATCGTCCTTCTCCACTTCGAGTTCTCCACCAGCATTTTTCCTTGATTCAGCCTCGGCTCGCCCCCTACGCGCGACAGGACGGGAGAAATCCAGCTTCTTCGGAGTTGGAGTTTTGCTGGATAGAACAGGACGGGCCGGCGTCTTGGGCGGTGGAGGCAAGACCTTTATATCTTCCCGAATACGTGTTTGGATTGCGAAGCGTTCGCCCTTAGCTTGAGCGTCAAGCACAGCTTGGTAAAGAGATCGCACAGCTTGTCGATCTGCGTCAGCAAGTGGAATGAGTTCGGTCTTGTCGTCACAAGGAAGAACAATCTCCAATGTGCCCCGTTCGAGTTCCTTTTCTTGAAAGCACATCAGATTGACACTGTTGTCGTAGAATGAAACTCACCGAAATAAGACTCCAAGAGCACGGTGCCTTCGACGGAGCTAAGTGTACTGGTATCAAGTGGTACAAGGGTGAGTGTTCCATCGCCTTGCACTGTTGGATAGCCTGTCCGCGAGGTTAGAACTAATTGCGATGAGAGGAGTAGCACACACGGAATAATGATTTTCGGGCCCATTTTCGAACGTTACGCGCTTCAGGAGCACCGAGATCGAATGCGGGTGATTTGACTGTCGGACTGGTGATAGTAATTCTGGACAGGATTGAGCGACCCGATTTGTGGGAGATGATACAGCGTACACTTTGTGATTCATCGTCCCTTCGTGATCGCGAAAATTGCCGAGGACGATGAAAGATGCATCGCCGAGTTGACTGAGACCATGCCCAATTAACGATTGGAGCGCTGTGGTAACAAGTTCACTGAAGCGGCCTTGATTCCTGCCAACTCATCAGCCATGGAGTACGGAAGGAAAATAAAAACTCACTCTTTGACAGACTTCAAAATCTCGACATCTGAAGGGCCAGCAGCACGTCGGGCATTCTCAACAGATGCCTTCTCTTCCCATTCCTTCTTCTGCATCTCGTCTAGAGCCTCCCATTTTTCGTCACCAATTTTATGCCACATCCGGAGTCCCTCGACGCTTGTGTGTTCGGGTAGTGCTTCATCCCGTTCTGCCTTTATCACATCGGTAATGGACGACTTGAACAGGCGCTGGCCATTTGCGCGTTGGACGATCTTCGTGGGTGCCACAGCAGCTGGCGCAGCCACGTTCTTGCGTTCCTTGCGCGCTTGGTGGCCCGATGCATTGTTTAGTTTGTTGTACATTGCCTGGTGACGCGTATGAGAATTGGAAGTGAATGTTAAATTGTGTTGGGCGCACCGCGAGAATCTGAGATTCCTTATACAATTCGATTTCGACTGGAAACTCTTTCTTGAGAAGCGCAAAGAGCTCGTTGTTTGCATAGCTCTTGGTAGTCCCTTTCCCGCCAGGGCTTTGAGCATGTTGGGTGAACAGTGGCTGGAGTGTTTCTTTCATGAAGCGACTCATTCGCTGGATCGTCTCGTCGGACTTGTTCGCAAGAGAAAAGTCGAGCAGCGTGCTGGGGTTCGAGTCAGTCATTGTGAGTGGTACAACCTCTGAGACGGCTTACCAGGCCGTTTATAATGGGCGATACTGGGCCCAAGCCTGCCCTTATGGCCTTATCGACATTCCAAGCGCTGGTCGCAGCCGCGACCCAAGCGTTGTGGTCAAAAAGCACAGACGTGACATCGTGACACATCGGAAGTGAATTTTGGTCCTTTTGAACGCACAGAACACAGTTCAGTTATCATAATCATGCTAGCTCTACATTGAACCAGAAGTCCCAGTCCCTTAACTCCGTCAACCCCTTCAAACGAATCAAAATTGGCTTTCGTCGTGTCGCATAAGTCTCTTTCACTCGACTCTGATTGCCCCATTCTCCAATAAGGTATGAAAACCGCTCGAGTGACCCTCCTTCCAGCCCTATCTCTCCGAGAATCATTCGCATAGTGCTCAATGAGAATTTCCCATTGTCTGTTGGAATTGCAAGGATCCTGGGCACAGATTTATTCTGTCGAAGGTCTCTAACAGCTCCAAGACGACGCAAATGCACTTGCCTTCATCCACACAACCAAGAAGCGATTACATGGCATACCAGGAACGGTGACCTTTCGACTGGGAGGAATCGGGGATGGTGAGCGGGGCATGGCTCGTGAGTTTCGGATAGGCGGAATAGGAGAAGGCGAGCGTGCATATTTCTTCTGTGGATATATTGAGGCTGGCGATGGGGACCGCGCCCGTCGCTGATGGAGTTTAGACATCCGGAAGAATCACCAAGTAGATAAATACCTTTAATGGAGTACGAGGGAGACGTTGTACTTCGGTCATGGTTGATGGGTTCCAAAACGACACAGGTGGCCCTTATATCTATGATTACCAAGGTCAAAGCCTTGAACGTGTGCGCCAAGACCAACGCACCAAAGCTGAGGGTGGACAAGGCAAACAAGTATTGACAGTTGATATTGTGTTGCGCCGCCAGCAACATGTGTGCGGCTGAGCAGGATTCAGAATGGACAGGCAGGTTTATAGCGTCAAGGATTGGCAGCCCCGGAGGAAAAGATATTGAGGACAGTGTTTGGGAAGAGCAAGTATTACACCTAATATGAAGTATTGAGCACTTAGAGCCAGAGCAAGAAGGGAAAACACGCACCTGAATGCCAAACACCTTGCGCAGCCTTTCCTCTGTCTCCAATAGTGGAACATCCCTCCGACATAGCGTGTGCTGGAAGCTTGACCATGGAAGATGTGGTCTTGAGTTTGATTGTGCACCAGCGTGGTTGTAGCGGTCAGACTGGATGTGGGTAATGACGAGGAGAGGGTGTGACACTGAGTCACACGACTGACGGGACTACCCCGAGATCTCTTGGGAAGAGGGAGGAACGAGTCGTACGAGTCATATGAGGGAGGAATGAGTAGTAGATATGTAAGACAAGAACAATACTATCTAATTTTCAGTCCTTCTTGAATCCAATTCTCCTCTTCTCTCCGTACAGTGCATGACGTTGCTGCTCAGATTCTTTCTCCGAATCCGCAAACATCTGCGCATCCTTGACAAAATCGGGTCGCCCAAGAGGGAAAGGTGCATAGTTTGACGGACCTGCAACTGGCTGAGATGGGGGCTCGATACGTTGTTTCTTGTGTGGTGGTGGTTGTTCCGGTGCGCGTTTACCTAGGTTAAAAAGTTAGCAGGCTTGATTAGATGGCCTGAAGACGTACACAATCCTTGCACAACCTCAAAAGCCATGTCTGCTTTGACAATCCACGCCCTCATCTCGAGACAGTCTTTGCTTTTCGAACCGATGGCTCGATAGAGGATGATTTCGCCATTTCCCTCGAGATTGAAGCTGTCAATGACACGGTCTTGAGTCCAGCCCTTGCGACGGGGTGAGTACCGTTCAAAGCGAATTGGGGAGTCAACAGCGATATTTGCGATGGTGGCGATCGTGAAAGATGTGATGTCAAAATAGGCGGGTGAGCGGATATGGAGCTTCTGTTTCAATGGCGGCTCATCTGGGTCGCAAAGGTCTGGCCAAACACAGACTTGCAAGTGTAAAGCTGATGATACGTTCAGCGAGAGTTCGTCGATGAGTAACGCTATACACACCTGAAGCAGGATCTAACTCGTATTCAGTGGGTTCATATTTATCGCATTCGGAAGGTATCATTTCCATGACTGAATCGTTTTTGAGATGGTCATCCTGATGAATTGCCTTGCGCTTCTGACTGTTTCCCTTGGGGAGAGGAACCTCACAGATTCCTAAAAATTGCGTAAATTGAAGCAGCGTGGAGTGGGGTTATAACGAGATACATACCGCTGGGTCTACGAGGCACGATTCCCGTATAATCCATGAGCTGCTCCATCAAACCAAAGAAAAATTCCATTTCTTGATGCGCTAGCGAAAGATGAAAATGTTGTCGATATTGCATGAATAGATGGGAGACGTACTTAATGGGAGCTTCCGTGGGCGGCCACCAGGATGTGCTGTGGCCAGACCCCGCTCGAAAGATTTCAGGATATGGTGTAACTCGCTTTTCGCTTCCACTGCAACCAACTGTAAGCATGAAGGTAGCAAGTCCAGAATTGCACATACCGTGTCCCTTGATGGCCGACTGCCCACGAGGGACAGTCTCCAAGGCCATACCATACTCAAAAATCTTCTCCCAACCAGCGAGAACTTCTGCTTCTGAAAGGAGCGGACCAGGGGGGAGTTTACAAGGCTTGGCAGTGCTCGTCTGGCGCTGGCCCCTGGGAATCACACACTAGATAAGCCGCTTAGTATGTGAGTTGAGCGGAGAGAATAAATGCACCATATGAGTTTGTTGTCCTAGTCGCTCCAGATGTCCATTAGTTCCTTGGTTGATTGTGGTGCGATGCCAATAGTTGTTTGGACATGGAGCTGGTTGATACAACGGATTGGGAGGAAAGACATTGTGATGGAGCTGTGCCATGGTAGAGGTGGGTGAATCGGTGTCAGACATTGTCGAAGAATGGAATGACGAGTCTCCAGACTGGCAAGGTTTTTATGCAAGCCTGCAGACAATTAGAGGTATGATAATTGGAGAAGTGTTGTAAAATACCGCGCTTAGGGCTGTTTGACGGGGTCTGAGCAGTGGAGCTCAGTGCTCATCGTGGTCATAACAAGACAAGTCAATGATCATCATTCCGAAACACAAAACAATAGAAGAGATTCCAAATCTGCCGAAGCACGATCTGGGTCAATGTCCACCATATGCTATTTAAGCCTGGCGTGGAACTCCGATTATGTCTCTGTTCAGCCGTTCTCCACTATGTCATCCCACACCGTTACAGTAGAGACTTCAGATCTCCAAAGTACCAATTCCTTTTCCTCGCTGTGAGATACAGGCTGACACTAAGACAGAAGGAGAGCAGTACAACAATATTGACGACAAATACAAAGATTTGCGTTGGGCAGATAAGAATCCAAGGTATGTCTTTCGGTCCGAGTCTACGAGCGACAATCTACTTAACATTTGACAGAGTCTCTTATGACATATGCTGTCCTGGCATTGGCAAGCCCGATGGGGAGGCCGTTGAGACAGCGTGGTGTGACGATAAGCCAGTAAACTTAGACCCAGCTGTAGAACTTTCGTAGTGTCAACAAGTCGTTATCTGGATGACATCATCCGATGCATAATCAGCGATCATTCCGAGAATCCTGCCAACGACCTCAATGTCGGCTCACCTTCAAAAGCGCAAGCGAGGAAGACCTCGGAAAGCCACAGTCAACGAGCAGAGCATTCCCAACAACTCTGACGATGAGATATATGACGAGCTACCAGCAGCGATACGCACGGTTTCCGGCGAGTTACTCGACACAGCTTTAGCTTCAGTCATAGTTGAGGAGGAGATACCCACGGTGGGGAAACTGAAGCGTAGCCAGGTGAGTGACTGTCAATGGACAGGACCTGATCCTTAATAAGACGCAGGGTGCTTCCACCAAGCTTCAAGATGCACTTGATCATTTACCCGCCCTTCGTGAACAAATAACCCAGTCTTTACACCATAATCCGGGTATCGGTTGTCCCTGCGCATGTGGAGACCAGAACGCTGTTTTCACCTGCTCTCTCTGCTCTGGGAGGCAGATGCTTTGCAGCGCATGCACTGTGAAGCAGCACTCACAGCACCCCTTTCATCGGATCTTCCAGTGGAAAACCGATGTCTATGGCTCTGCGTTCAGTCCTATCTCTCTCCTGGATCTTGGGCTGGTTTTGGACGCTTGCACCAATGGGTTTCAGCCTTGCCCACGAGCATCATCCGACACAATGAAGCTCACTGTTGTTGCGGTCAATGGCATTCACGAATTAAAGATTCGTCTTTGTGGCTGCCGAAGCCCTGCAACAGAGAGGTTATATGAACGATGGGAACAGCTACTTCAGCTTCGACTTTTCCCTGCTACATTTGCCTTTCCCCGAACAGCCTTCGACTTCCACGCCCTCGAACAATTCCACGTCCAGTCCTTGACCTCCAAAATCACGGTCTACGATTACATACGCTCTCTCGAGAAGCTGACAGACGCCGTCTTCCCTCAAGATGTCACTGTAGGCAGTTCTGCTTACCGTTTAGTATACATCTCACTTCATTGTCCAGGATCGGTACCGAGAATTCGCCCGGTCCTTCCGCATCTGGCGGTTCTTAGCGCTTGAACGACGAGCGGGGCAACAGCATGGAATTGATTCCCATGTCCCACATCGAACCGAAGGTGGATTGGCAACACGCTGTCCTGCATGCCCAGAAGTCGGATTCAATATCTCCCGCGCAGAGATTGACGCACTACCAGATGACCTAAAGTTTGTGTTCTCAGAACTCAATCTCTCACATTCAATATGTGTAGGTATACTTCCCGACTTGTACTCTCCGTGGATGCAAACTTCAAGGCACAACGCAAAAATAAGAAAACGAAGGAGGACTCGGGTGACATAGTACTGAATGCAGGCCACGCGTTCTTTCCTGATGACCAAGACTTCACCGAATATATCAAAGTAACCGACGCAGCAAAGATCAAGGAGCCCAATCCCGAGCCCGAGGGTATCATTTGCAACCATTTTAACGCCAAAACGCTGCAGAATATGGCTAAATTCAAGAACGTTGTCATCTCCGGTGTTGTTGCCGTTCAGTGTGCTCGACATGGGTTTTTCCTTCCTGGGGCGCTTGTCGATCTCACGAGAGGAGAGGCGTAGGTGTCGAACTTGAGTCTGTTCAGGTACTGATGCTACAAAGGTACAACCGAACCGACTATGCAGTCTGCAATGTGTTGGCCGAAAACCATCTGAACGAAAATATAGCGATTACCTACGATATCTGGTGTCAGTATGGTATCAACCTACCGAAGCGTGTCCAGAAGTTCTTCAACACTCTCTATCCGCTTGCAAAGCTCGTGTTTGGCGGGATTCCCAAGATGCATATTCACAATCATCGGGAGTTCTGCGAGTTGATTTACAACTTAAATTGGCTGGTTGGTATGGGTTTGATCACGGGAGAGATGATCGAGTCATCTTGGGCCGAGCTCAATCTGACCGCAGGGAGTACCAAAGAGCAGAACCACGGCAATCGTCACGACTCGCTCGATGAGGCATGCAACAATTGGAACTGGGACAAGTTAATCCGGCTCGGTACGATTCTCGACTACTAGTAAAATTTTGTCTCATCTATTTGACAGCAGATACTCTTGTTCGCCTCTACTGTGACGCAAAGCTTCAGCTAAATCGGCGCCAAAATGATTTCAATGGCCATTGCAGCACCGTTCCGCCTGAAAAACTTGCCGAATGGCACTCAATACCAGCAGAGACTACATTCGATGTAAACGGAAAAGTCGTCAACTGCCCATTTGAGCTCAAACTCGAGAATGGTATGCAACTCGGCTCTATGAACGTAGTTGCTCATGTTCATAGGCCCACCGACTCACCAAGCAGCTTACCGAAAGCTTATGGAAGAAGAATTTTCAAACAAAAAACAAAAACTTGGCTTGTTCGAAGGCGACTCAGCAATCATCGCTATCGGTTTAGCTATCGAAAGAGATCAGTATGTGTATCCTTCAGAACGACCGGATCCGGCCTCACACTGAGCTTGGACAGGTGTTCAGTTGCCCGTCTTGTCTCCGCAAAGCGACCCGACCAAGAAGATGTCATTTCAAATCGCCGCAATCAACTGACTGACAAGCTCACCGAATTTCGCCAGGTCCTATTGGAACGTGTGCCTGCACTGAAAACGCTCCTGAGGGACCCGATTTCCGAGAAACCCGAAATCACACGTCTCTTCCTACCATCCGAGTTCTCTGCAATTCAACGGGACGACTACGACCTAGTGGCACTTGCATCGATCGAGTATGCATTGCGTGAAGGCCTCGCACATGACACCTTGCAGGAGATACGGAACGCTATCCGGGCATTCAACATCACCATCAACTTCAAGAAAACCCATATCACAGGGACGGGCGCCAATACACGGGCGCAGACACATGCTATGGTGCAATACAATGATATTCGCATCCTTGCGACAGGGTATAAGGTGCAACGCGAGGCGCTGATGCGACTTGGTCTCCCTCCGACTGACACAGTGCTCCGACCATTACTCAAGAAACATTTGAAGGGGAAGGATGGGCAAGCTCTGAGAGCAGGCCAGTCACGGGAGTTGGAGTCGTGGATTTGGAGAGTTGCCCGCCCAGAGGGAATGTCCGAAGCACAGGCCAAAGATTGGCAATTTGAAAGTGCGTAATATTATGGTACATTTGGCTGTGTAATCTTATCTGCCTAGTGGATCGAATGCGCTATTTCCGGTTACGCGCCTCTGTAGACCGAGCGACCGAGGAGATCAACATTTTGGAGGCTGAGTTCAAGCGATGCAAGACGGCCTTTGATCGCTATGCAATGATATGGGCGGAAATGGCTCAAGCGCCACAGAGTTTGGTGCTGGGGAAGTCGGCTTATGCGGTCAAAAAGGCAAGGATGTTCGCCAAGCTTGCTATGCGGTCCGAGAATGCCAGGGCCTCGCTGGACAAAGCATATGGTGACGCTTTGAAGCGCCAGGAAAAGCGTGATGCCGAGCAGGCGGCGAAGGATGCTCAGGACGCCGAGATGGAAGAGGAGGGCGGTGACCAGGAGTTGTTTGAGGTGGATTTGGTGCGGGATATGCATACAGGGTAGTGAATTCCAGTTTTTTGGGACAGCGCTGAGGCTGAGAGAGAGACGATGTGACTTAGTAATTGATATGACATCATAAACTTCTACGCTTTGCTCAATGCTTGTGCTCGACCAAGGTTTCTCTTTGTGCATTGCAACCATTGTTCGACACGCCTGGGCCATCAACAGCCATATAAAAGCAGCGGGAAGTGCCCTCACTCGGCGCGAGCACTTCCTCCACACCCTCCGAGCACGCCTCCCTCAGCAAGATGTCAAGTTCTGTTTCACTTCTACTTCACTTCACTTTCATCTTCCTTCTCATTTCACTTCCTCATTCTCACTCTCCCTCACTTCACTTTCTTTGCCTTATCCTCATCCTCACTCCCCCTCCTCACATGCAACTTACTTCGTCATTTCATTCCTGCCTTGTCATTCCACTTCACTTCAGTGTCATTTTCACTTGCCTATATACATATACAGTAGCACCAGAGTGAGATGTAGTAGATAGTAATTACTGTGAAGTCAGTCTAGAGTGACACTTTGGGAGGTGATACGACCGCTATCCAATGAGTTGATAGAGATGCGACAACGCCCAGAGGTGTAGTCGAATGTTACGTAGGGGAAAGCTCCCAGTCCCTGCGCAAAGGTGTACTCTGATGAGTGTGCGTACATGAAACGCAGGATTTTGAGGGCAACATCCTCGCGACGCAGATTATAGTCGTGCTCAAGGAGGAAACGGAAGAAGGCCCGGTCTTTGTGCGAATATGCGCATTCTTCCTCTGTTCACCGGTTAGCCTGAGTGTGGATGAGATGCTTAAACAACCTTACCAGTCATTCGATCGGAAAGCTCTTCGCAGGCCTCTTTGTGTCCGCCGTCGTAGAAATCTGTGCGTTGGCATTGTTTGGAGCAGTAATAGGCAAAGCCGCAGCCGCCGCAGCGCTTGAAGTCGCTTTTTGGACAGATTCGGCCGCACTGCAAAGTAGTTAGGATAAGGCCTAGTAGTATATAGCCGAGACCAGCCTTTGTGTTATCGCATACTCTTAAACGCGGTAAGCTTTTAGATTTGAAGGTGTCCACCAATCTGAGCCGCGAATGAAGGAGATCGATAAATCGCTTCCAATCCTCAAGAGCTTCGGGTCGTTCCTGAAACTCGATGTTAGGGTCAAAATCTTCCAGCTGTGTCAAGTGGTTGCGCAGAGACACAAGGACGGAGTAGTATACGGTGAAGGCGGGGAGCTCCTCCCTCAGGAAGACGCCCATGAAAGCCGGCAGTGTCTCCTCCCCGGGTCCGTCGTCGAGATGAGCGAGGGCAGGGTCCGAAAGCAGCTTGTAGATTAGCGGGAGGAGACCTGCCCGAAACGACTCTGCCAGCCACTTTTGGCACCACACGCTGCGAAATATCTCGAGTAGGATGCGGAGAAACACTATTAAGAAGGTTTTTGCTGGTGCGTCTGTGTTAGTACGCATACTGAGCATTTTGGTGAGAGAGCAAGCGGCGGTGGTGAGCGCTTTGACGATTCCCTGGTCAAGAAGCCCCTCGCGGAAGGGATCGTCCAGGTCGAAAGTCTCCGTGAGCAGCCATATTATCCCGGTGGTTTGCTTGAGTCCTTCGCTTGGCGGCGGCCTGTCTGGCCGGGGGTAGGCATGGGATACATGTGCGACGATAAGCCTAGCCAGTTCTTCCCGAGAGCCTCCGGCGCCTTCAACGAGTTCTTCAAAGTGGGCCTTGTCGCTGTTTTTCCGCCCAGTCTCGTCGAATCCAAGGAGCGTAGCACACTCGAAGAGACCCTCGTCATAATGCGCCTCCAACGAATAGTGCCACCCCCGGCCAATGATTTCGCGAAAGCGCGGAGTGCGGGAAATAAGGCGCTCCCCCGCGTCGTTTCCCCGCGTCCAAATGACCCGCATGATCCCGAGTGATGTTGCATAGAATTGGACCCGTGTTGCAGGGTGGAGGTTGTCGCGACACGCGTCCAGGAGTTCCGTCCACGCCCAAACGCGTTTCCAAACTTCTGGAAAGGTGCTCGGAGAGACGTGATGGTCTCCAATGAGCGCCGAAAGGCAGCGCATGGCGAGCACCACGCACCGGATGTTAGCATGGGGGAAATCGAGAGAGGCCGCCTTCTGCGGAGCGGGGACGTCCACGTCAATGAGTGCGTAGAAGGCCGCCGCAACAATTGGGTGATAATATGTTGGGATAGGTCTGTCAGAGTCTTGCGCAATGCCTTCACATAGCTCTTGCAGGGCGTTGGCATCTCCCTTCGCAGCCTTTTCGGCGAGGACCTGAAAAGGGTGTATTTCAACTCGGGTGACGCGTCAAACGTCAGCGCTCACCCGTAGGGACACCGGGAGCTTCGAAAGATTCGACAACCGCAGAGACGCGGGCAAGACCATGGCGGAAGTGTGCGAGACGCGTCTGATGCATCAACGTGAGAAAGAAACATGGGCAAACAACTGATTGCCGAGCCATCAGTAACCGCTGGTACGGATCTCTTCCTCAACGTTGATGAGCGCTAGGCAAGCTAACATTTCCCTGTGTCCGCGAGGCTCAAACTGTTCGCTGCTTTCTCCAGGGATGTTGTCGACACTCCCGCTTTGTGAGTCAATCATTCTTCTTTCATTGATTTTAAAATTTGACCCGCGCAAGGCTTTTACAGCTTCTCGATGCTGTTCAAGAACAAGTGGAGATTCTGCGGCGAGTCGACCACCGGCAGCTGACCAGTGGTGCGCAGCTTGCGTGGCTTCAGTAGACGTCAGCTAACCAGGCAACAGATCTCTCAAAACAGCCTATGCCGGAGGTCCCGGCAACCAGCAGCAGTGCTTGGAATGCGCTGCTGAAGTCCACGCTGGCGGAGACGATACAGCCAAAGGTCGACAGGTGGAGAAGCGGCCTGGATGCCCTTTTAGTTTTCGTGAGTGCTCAATCCATACTTCACCGTCGCTTATAAAGTCTATCCTTAGCTGGGTCTTTTTTCTGCGATTGTCACCTCCTTCTTCGTCCAGTCGCTGTTGAGTCTGCAAGAGGACCAAAGTATGAGGATGAACGAGCTCGTGGCTAACCTGACGGAGATCATCATCGTCATAAGCGGTGTGCCACCGGCAACGCTTGGAATCAAACCTCCAAGGCCATTCAAGCCGGCCGGTGCCGATGTGCGATTGAATGCATATTGGTCGTTGTCCCTCATTCTCAGCGTGAATATCCCGGTCTTGTCCGGGACATAACATTGCTAACGCTGTCTTTCAGCTATCTATCGCAGCCCTGGCTGTCGCCTGCCGCGGCTACCTTAACATGGTCGGCTGGTCGCGGTTCATCAAAGCCTCAGAGAGGCTGATCGACATCCGTACTCGCTGGCTAGCTTTTGAGCCCCTCCTTGGTCCAACAATCGAACTCCTTCCCCAAATGCTTGTCATCCCTGTGCTCCTCTTCATCATAGGGTTACTCGACACGCTCTTCTCAAGCGTGCTTCAACTCTCACCCATCCCAATACCTATCCTCTTCACTGCAGGCCTGTCTCTTCTTTTCATCGTCGCTGTCGCATTGTTGCTGGCGTACACCGTTGTCGACAGAGACATCAATCCCACAGGGACTGGGATAGTTTTCCGTCTGATGTCCGAGGTCCGAACTTGGATGGCTGGCCCGCACACAACGTTAACTCTGGCTAGAAACAATACTCGTCAGCCGCGTGTCTCTACCAAATCGGACATCGAACTCCCTTCCACAGCACACCTTGTTTATCATGACGTCGTTCAGTCGACACATGACGACGAAACGCTTAACGAGGCCGCTGCTGCACTGTACAGCGTTATCCAGTCGTTCTCAGTATGGCCGCGATATACGATGTCGGCTAATGTCAAAACGTCTAGCGGACTATTAGCTCAAGAACGTGCGACTCTGCTGCATTTATTATCACCGGAAGCAAGTGCTCGAAGCAATAGAACAGCAGTACAGGTCATTCTACGCATACAGGACAGTACGTATTTGCAAAGTGTGAAAAGCAACTAATTTCAACCCTTATAGCTAATCGCATTCGCTATTCCCAAAACGATATGGCAGAGCTCATTCCGGTCTTGCTGGACGCAGCGCGCCGAAGTCTTCCATCAAACACCGCAGAGACCCACGTCCGTCTCTGGGAGTCCCCCTTTGTTCACGCTATGGCTATTGTCAGCAACGCTGGTGCCTTTTGTGGCTTGCCTGGCCCGCGATGCGCTCCGGCTTTAGCATTCCTTGCGTCCGAATACATTGACATTCAGCGCCTGCCCTCCGATATCGATCCCTCAGTCGAGCATGCGCTCAGGACACGTACCATTGGGGCAATTGCGGAATTGCTTTACTCGTCAGTGGCAAAATTGGTCCACGACAACTCCGCTCTTGAGCTTTCTGAGCTTGATTCGGCCGTATCAAGCCTTTTGGAATCTCCTCTCGAACCAGCATCCACTTACAGGTCGCGTTCCAACTCCTCGTCCGAGTCTTCTACCATTTCGACTGGCTTGCCGCTCGCCCGACAACCGCTCCTTCTGAATATCGAGAATCTCCTCGGAGGATTCATCTACCTCCCGCTTCCCTTTCGCACCATCTCAAGTCACAACTCTCCGAGTCGGGGGCATTCCTTTGCTGAACCCGTCAAAACCCAATCTGAGCTTGTCCTCGTATTGTTGCTCCGCTGGCTTGTGCATCGAACGTCGTCGTTTTCTGTGATCAAAGCTGCACAAGGACACATCGCACGTGTGGCACAGTCGGATTCGTGGCCCACTGTTTTGTTCTTCGTGGTCTCCACCTTAGCGAGGACGTTATTGGACTGGAACGTGGGCCCTAGTATCGAGAGCACCTCTGAAGCAAACGACAACGAAACCCAGGATAATGAGACGGCAAAATCATATCGCGATCAGGAAGAGCGAAGGTGGCTTCTTCCTCTGGCCTATCTATGCGTTACCTCGCTCGGGAGAATCGCCGCTCTACATCAATTCCATCCACAACTCCCTGCGTTAATGACAGCAGCGGCAGACGCAGTTACTTGGTACTCTTCCTTCCCGCAAATCAACGACCCGGGGCACAGAATATCCGCATATGATGCAGAACTGCTGCAGCTGATCCAGGCCGAACTCGACGGCATCCGCAATTTTGTGACGGACGGGACGTGGAGATGGAGTGCGAAACAACGGGAAGCAGTTTTGAAAGAACTTGGGCGACTCGAGCAAGGGCTTTCCCTGATTTCACCTCAACTTACTACGCTACCCGAGCCATAATCTTGGGCCGAACCCGTGTTTAGAACGGGTTCGAGAAGGGTCGAGACGGTTGGAGCGCCCTGCAGCTGGACCTGTGCTAACTAAAGCTCATTATTACTCAGATACGTGGACTGGCAGTGGAATTCTGGCACTAGCAGGGCCGTTATAACTTGACACTGTCGTTTGAACGTTGGACTGTCGACTCATACAGTATCGATGCTTGTCGTATGATCTTCTTCAAATGTTCGCTCGGCCGCGGAATCCGACGGCCTCTCTTATCTTTCCCGTTTCACGTGCCACCCGACAGTGCCGATCACATATCAGTATGTCAGAAATTTGCTTCCGCCCCGCTTCTCTTGTACCCACCATGTCCGTCGAGAGGCAGCCCGCGCGCAAGGAGGAGCCCGTCCTCAAGCGAGTTAAGGATAAGGTGACCACGAAGCATGGGTGGTTCGGGGACTATGACTATGCTTGGTATGTCTGATTTTTTTCTTTTCGTTTCCCTGCTCATGCGAGTGAATTGTTGACACGGACAACGTAGGCTCTGTACTCCAACGCTTCCCTTTGGGAATCTTGCCTCCCGGTCCCATCAGCCTCCATTTTATGCCTTGAACGAAGAAATGCCGCTTTTGCTTGCTATCTTCACGGGCCTCCAACACGCACTCGCGATGCTTGCTGGCCTTATAACCCCGCCCATAATTTTCGCCTCAGCACTTTCCCTGGATGCAAAGACCTCATCATACATGATATCGGCTTCCCTCATCGGATGTGGACTGCTGTCTCTCGTGCAGATGTCCCGCCTCAAGCTTTTTCGCGGTTATTACCTGGGCACTGGCTTGATTAGCGTGGTGGGGACATCATTTGCGACGCTCAGCACGGCTGACGCGATCTTCAACGCCATGTACGCGGATGGGACATGTCCCAGTACGACTGGGGCGGATGGGATAGTCACGCGCTTGGCTTGTCCGGAGGCATATGGGAAGTTATTGGGCACATCGCTCATATGCTCTTTATTGGAAATCGCAATGGCCTTCGTTCCGATAAGGATTCTAAAGCGCTTGTTCCCTCCGTTGGTGACCGGTGCGCAAATCGCATCGCTCATGTATATTCAATGGCTGATGTTCACACACTTGCAGGAACTGTAATCTTAACCATTGGTGCCTCTCTCGTCGGCTCCTCCGGGATACCCAACTGGGGCGGCGGGTCCAATAGCTGCTCGTCTCGGCCAGTGTCGGGCATTTTTGAGCTATGCCCGACAATCTTTGCGCCGAGACCACTGCCGTACGTTTTTGATTGTCCCTGGGTCCATTCACTGCGTTAAGCCGTTGGCAGATGGGGCTCTCCCGAGTTTATCGGTCTCGGATTCCTGTCCTTCATTTCCATTATCCTCACTGAAGTCTTTGGATCGCCCTTTTTGAAGAATGTGAGCATTATTGTTGGATTATTGGTCGGGTATGTCCTCAGGCTCTCGTACTCCAATTATTCTTTTGAAAATGCTTGGTATAGGTCCGTTGTTGCAGGTGCTGCTGGATATGCGGATCGCTCTTCTATCGATTCCGCTCCAGCCATCACCTTCCTCTGGGTCCATACGTTCAAAATCAGTGTGTACGGCCCGGCAGTATTGCCTATGCTGGCCGTCTATGGTCAGTTATTTGGCTTTGTGGTCGGACCAGCTTCAATTTGCAATATAGTGTCCCTTGCAATGGAAGCAATTGGAGACATCACGGCCTCTGCTGAAGTCTCGCGGCAACCGGTCGACGGGCCGGTATTCGACAGTCGAATCCAGGGCGGGGTACTGGTGGGTGCAATTTTTCAGATCTTTTTAGCCCTAAATGGATCTTTAGAGCGACGGTATCGGCGGATTCCTCTCTGCCCTCTTTACGGTCACGCCTCTTTCCATCTTTGCACAGAACAACGGCGTGATTGCGCTGACCCGGACAGCGTCCGTCACCGCCGGCCGCTGGTGTTGCGCCTTCCTGATCCTCTTTGGCATCCTCGGCAAGGTTGCGGGTGCCTTGCTAGCGATTCCGAACCCGGTGCTCGGGGGCGTGCCATGACGACATTCTTGTTCGCTAGCGTGGCCGTCAGCGGGATTCGTGTCCTCGGCATGGTCAGATGGGGTAGGAGAGAGCGCTTCGTCCTCGCGGCCGCGCTCAGCTTTGGATTCGGTGATCTGCTGGTGCCAGGAATATTCACCCACCTGTTTGAAGGCGTTGACCACCCAAACAAAGCCCTGCAAGGGTGGTTCGACTCGATCACGATTGTGTTGAGCACTCCTTGTATGTGTTTCGCATTCATTGCATAGAACGCAGCGCTCATTTAAGCCTAGTCCTGTCCTCGGGTATTGTTGCTGCATTACTGAACCTGATGCTCCCGCAATACGAGGAAGGCGGATTCAGAGGCGACGCCGACGTAATTGAGCCCGCAGGGACAGATGCCGCCGAGATTGCTGATGGACAGAATCATAGCTTGAGCGAAGGCGAAGAGAAAGAGAAGGTATGACGTTAAGAGCAAACCGATAATGTTAAGGAAAGGCTCAGAAGTCACCAAAGAACGACGGTGTGCCACGTAGTACTAATTACAATAAGTACTGCCAGTGCATGCGAGCGTGCGAAATAAGAATGGGCCCTTGTCTCAACGGTCAACTGCGCGCTCTAAAGCAATAGATAACGACTCTCCTCGACGAGAGCATAAGTATTACCAGGCAAATTGATCGGACCGAGAATCGAATCATCTTAGTCACATTCGCTGACACATCAAATTGCTTGTCTTCCACGGTCAGCGTCCCTCCCCTTGTGAAGCCTAGTTGGATGTGAAATCTTACTTATTGTCTACCCCAAACATAAACCATCACTCACTACATACAGACAGCGATCGTGGTTGGACCTAAGTATATGCCACATGTACATGAGTTAAGTACCAAGTACATCGTTTTGATCAATGATTCCGTCTTCCTCTGATTCTGGCTTAGCCTAAGACTGAGCTTCCACAGATTTTGTTTACATTCTCTCCCATGATTCCCGGTTGCGTCAGCGCTAATAAAATCGCCCATTTCATAGGCACAGAATACTCTCAGGCTCCTCCCACCGCGACGTCCAGCACAGACCAGACCATCTACTTCATTCAAGTTCTCAGCGAGTATCCATGAAACTGCGTAATTGGTGATAGATGGACAATTTCATGGCTTCGTAAGTTATGCCCGAGTCGGCCCGCTGTCGATCGATGTCCCACCTCAGACGATTGATTTTACAGATATGGTTGCTTGGAGTCAACTTGGAGTCTTCTCTTTGGCTTGTCCGGTGTGCCAGTGGCCTCTATCCCGCGTTGATGACATTGACTTACTCCAGGGAGCTTTCATATGCACATTCAAGTAACCGAACTTTCCTTGATCCTCGGAGGCTGTTTCGGCGACGATCCGGAATTTTTGTCTTCAATTAAAACGAAGAGACGATCAGTCGACAATCCGAGACCCTCTGCACTTGCCGACGACTCGCGCTGATTTGCAAGCGCTCTACAACCATCCCGCCAAATCACCATCCCAACACCATCCCTAAAACACCGCCAGGTCCCACATTTATTCGTGATGCGACAGGAGGCAACGGATGCAATTGTTTCAATTGTCATCACTCACTGGCGACAACGAGGTGATGAAGGATCTACGGGCGCCTCCCCACTGTCTGTCGATACAAAACACAGACGTTAGCTCCTCCGCTGGACTCATTTTACCTCTTTTCCGTCCCCACATTTTTTCTCTGCCCGTCGTTTCTTCATTCATTCCCCTCGGTCCAACCAGTGGATGCAATGAAGCTGGCTCCAGCTTTCCCTTTCTTATTTCTTCCGCGGCTGGACCGGTTGACGACGGCATTTTGTTTGCTGGTAGTGCTGTTAGCTGTGAGCGGACGGGCGGAGGTGGTCCCTCTCCTGGAGCCGGTTCGTCTCGTGTGTATTGCCTAGCTTGGCTTATCGCTAACCGCCTACCAGGGCTTTTTCTTCGACTACAACATTCCCGGCCAGTCTCCGCCCGTTCCCATTACAGGTGCGAACAGAGCTCACAAGAACGAGAGAAGACTCATGAAGAGCGTAGAGCAGTGCGAAACGATACATATCAAGTGGGGAAGACGTGCGTGAACCATTTCTTGCTCCTTCCCGGCTAATATTCTCGGGCAGAGGGTGCAATCGGGTAAGCTGCGGATTAAACAGCAGAGCTGGGCATATCTCATCTCATGAGCTCCAGACCAAATCCCGTGGCACCCTATTCCATGGTCGTCTACACGTCGTGCGTGGCCCGCTTTCCATTACTACTAATGGTCAATAACAATCGGGTCCAGAACATTCACAACACCTTTTACTATCAATGCCGGAAACGGGCTTGAATTTGTGTGTTCGCATCGACCGGGTTTCAAGGGACTTTCTGAAGGCTGATGCCGTCTCTGTTTAGGACTGGCAAGTGCCTTTCGCACCGGGAACCCAGGTTCGCCATATTTCTGCTGCCGTGCTGTGCTAATTCATGCATGCACAGTATCAGATTTGTATGGTTCGTCTGCAATGTCTGTCAGTCGTTCGTTCATTGACAGTTATCGCTAGTGGGATAAAAACGGTGTTCCTGGAGGATGTCAGGCGATGTATACGATGGTGAAAAACTCGACAGTTGCGCAACCCATGTGCGTTTCAATGTTTCGCCACTTTTCGTTGGGTTGAGATTGCCATTAGATGCAAGAATGTCACCCTCCCAGTGCAGCTTCAGGTTGCGGCAACGGATCATACCGGGCCATTGTCACAATTTGGGTTTACGGACCAGGTAGAGTGGTCTTTTGTACTCGAGGATAACAAGCTCATGTCGAGGAAGTGCACAGATATCAAACTTACCCCGAAGTCGGGACGGCCTCCATATACTCTAACCGTTCGCTTTTCTTCTTATTGTTGGCGGACCTGACTTTTTGCCTCAGGTTGCGCCTCCCTTACATCCACCGTTCAATATCACATCGAACAGTATGAAGACAATCGACTGGACGCTCTCCTTACCCTGGTCGTACCCGTTCTTCCTTTCCCTCCAGAGTGGCGACGGGCAGCTGTGGCATTTTGGACCGCTTCATGCGGGTGGATTTGGGCCAACGGATTGCTGTGAGCTTTCTTCTCAGCATCTCAACTGATATTTTAATATCACTTCAGTGGCTCCGGGAACTATGTAAGAACCTCCGAGTTCTTTCTTGCAAACGTTCTTTCTGACCAGTAAACACCGCAGATCGAAATCCAAAGCAGCAACGATAGCACTTGGTGCTGGACTCGGCAGTGCATTCGGTGCCGGCGTTTTCGCTGCCCTCACCATATTCCTCTATCGCCGCTTTCGTCCCGAACCCCACCCACCGATCGACGCATTTAACTCGAATTGGGAGGCGGGCAGTCGGCCCACCTCCGAATCTGCTTTCCGAAGTAGATTGGACTCCCAATCTGCGGCGTCATGGGCCACGACAGGCGATTCTGGCCCAAGTAGAGTGTCCAGAGGGAGGACATACGTGCTTCACCATGATGCGGGACAAGCACCGATAACGGTGATCACCGATGCCGAAGAGGTCGTAGAACTGCCGCCTCGATATCGCATGGACTCGCCTGCAGGGCCAAACGACCCGTCGGGCGGGTACCAAACACGGTTACCCATGCGGGAGAAGGCGCAGCCACCTTTACCTCCCGTCGACGAGCAACCAGTGGCTGGGCCTAGTCGTCTCTCATAGCCTCTGAATCTTGGATACCTTACCGCACCGTAGCGCCCATGATACCCTACCCACTCTCTTTTTCGTTGCTTCTTTCGAGTTCTCAGCTTTCAAGGACTTCTTTCACGTTTTAAGCGTTGCTCACTTCTTGCCAGTCAAGAAAGAGATGTATAATATCCGTTTCTTCCGGTACTTCTGTGTCCTATATAGGAATGTTGTAGAGTAGGGCTATCAAAAGCATGCAAACGATTCACGAAAAATGTACTTGAAGAGTGGTGACATGTGACGTTTGCTTCTTCTCTTCACTCATGCACTACATTCAAAACGACGCTCCCCAGTCCAAAATTACGATCCCAAGGCCACGCAACATCGCCGCAAGAGCGAAGCACCTCATCGCCAGCTCAGCAGACGATTCGGATGACGACACTGCAGTGATGCCTCGAGAGTCGGATGTCTCTGCCAACGACCCCGTCAAGCTCCCACAAGATGTCTTCGCTGCTGTTATGGAAAGCTTTCGTACCGAGTTTACTGTTGTGCAAGAAAGGGCTATGAAGAGTGCAAATCAGCAATTCCTTTTTGTCAGCCAGCGAATGGCGCAACTGGACCGCGACAATGCACGCCTGTCAAGAGCATTAGAAGAGAAAGAAGTGGAGTTGCGTCATATGACCGCCCGGCTCGCGAAGGTTAAGGAGAAGTATGACGAGAGGGAGACCGAGTTTGAGCTGTACAAAGGGCGGGTGGAAGAGGAGGCACAGGCGCGAGAGGAAGCAGCGCGGAAGCAGGCTCGGGAGCAATGTCGGAGGGAGTGCAGAGCGAAAAATTTTGGGGCACTCGAAGACGCGGAGGAACAGCGTGAGGAACAACTTGGAGAGGACCAGCGTCAAGGTGCAGTATCCGACTTGCACCCCTTATTCGACCACTTACTTGGCCAGTAATCGGTCCCGTCAAGCGTTCCGTGACTTCTCGAGATGACTCGGACGATGAAGAACTCCACAGTCTAGATGATACTAGCATGGCTACTAGTACGATGTCGAATCCAAGACGCAAAATCGTTAGATTCTCGAGAGATATTGCGCAAGAGCGCTGGGACGTCCGTCAGCACTCGAATCACATGAAGAAAGAAATACCATGATCTCGACTGGCCAATATATCCGCTCTCTCCCACTCGCAGTCCTTTTTTCACTACAAGCGTCTTCCTTCTTCAAGTTCTGAAACTCCGAGTCTTATTACCGTAGAGCACTGGCAACATCCCAAGTTTACATAGCAATAATCACCTACAGCTATTCCTAACTAGTTCCCTTGAAAATTGTATCTCGTGCTAGTCGCCTCTTTACCCCGTCTTGCACAAGTTATGGAGTCTGTTGATTTTACCGGAACTGCTGCATATACGGCTATAATCCCGGCCAATTTAGTTTTGGACGAACACCTGTCCGAAAATGACTCCGCCCCTCTTCTCTTCTCTATACTCCCTTGTATCGCTATTCAGGAACTATTCGCGGACGCGACCACGACCGCTCAGGGCCTCCCGCGATGTCCATCGCCCGGCCCACTTCAGGCTTGCCCCCCTATCATGGCTATGTCATATCTGAGCGCGAGGACCCGCAGGAGACGCAATCCTGGATTGCGATTGAGCCGACAGCAAGAGACTCAGCCCCCTCAACTGCTCACGGTGCGTTTTGCGCGCTTGACCTTCTTCCTTTGTCTCTTTGTTTCTCGTTTTCACACTTCTTCACGCTTCACTTTCTTTGTGTCCTTCTCCTGTATCCTTCCTTGCCTTGACCGCTCACTTGCCCTATGCTCATTGTGTTCCAAGCCGAGGCCCCACCCAGCTTCACTGAATCGCGTTTCGACGTGATTCTGCGCCGACAACGACAGCGTCCTCCTAACGGAGGGCTGAAGCAACCCCTCGTCCCGTCGTCGCGTTTTCTTAATCTCAGCCCGACATTCGAGTTTGCCGGTTGGGGCTCTTCCACGCGACTGAAGCTCTCTACCGAGGACCACGCGACGGGAGAGGCGCGTTTGCAGGACATTCGACGGGGCCGGGTACTTGGACAGTGGCTGGGTTCAGCGATTCCAGGCAATGCGGTATTAGGAAGCGTTTTCTACGCGTTGCCCGCGGTTGTTGTGGTGTCGGGCGTGTAGTCAGTGGCCCCCTTTCTACCACAAACGTATATGAAAGCTTACTCGTCCCCAAGCTCCCCCATCGCATTCTTCCTCGCGACCATGACACCATTTGTGTGGCGGCCGATTATGGAAGAGCTCGCGACGGCTTTGCCTATGAGTGGAGCGCCGTATTCTTACTTGTACGTCTTCCTCTGCCGCTTTTGCTCCCCGCCGACCACAATTTTCAGGCTGAATACTTCCCGCAAGACTCTCGCTCTCGTTGGCGCTACCCTGATGGTTCTCGACTTCGCAAGCACATCCGTCGTGTCAGCAGCAACTGCATCCGCCTGTATCACTGCCGAAATACCCTTGTCTGTATCCCATCATCTTCCAGCGGCAGCCCTGGCGCTGCTAATCCTCTTTGCCTTTGCGGTCATCTCGCTTTCTGGACTAAAGGAGTCAGCCCGTATCGCTGCGGTACTGCTTCTCTTCCATCTCCTGACCATGGTCGTTCTTGCAATAAGCGCATGTGTCCGCTTAGGGCTGAATAGCGGGGAAGAAGTGGTATTAGGAGCTAATTGGCGAATGGGCAATGCCGGCCTTGGACCCCGTGGTGTTGTGAGGCAGTTGTTTGACGGGTTTTGTTTGGGGATGCTAGGGTTGACGGGCTTGGAATGTAAACTGTCTCCTTACACTGGCTCTTTGATTGCATTGGCTCATTATCTTCCAGGTGTACCTTCATATACCCCATTCTTCGCCTCCGCCCCTTCCTCTTCAAAACAAGCAACGACGAGTACTTTCTCCCGCGTTCTCCGCAACTTGCATTACCCCGCTATCGTCCTTACCACCGGCATGATGCTCTTGGTTCTTGCCCTCGTACCTCTCGGTGAACTGCTCACAGTTAATGGCGGCAGCAGCGGCAATTTGCTGAGCCTGCTGGCAAATAGGGCGGGCGGAAGATGGTTAAGAACCTTGGTAGTTATCGATGCGACTGTCGTGTTATGCGGCGGTGTCTTGACCGGTACGAATGTTAGTCAAATTATCTGATTAGTTACTGACCAAGAAATAGGCATTCTTTCAGCTTGTCAACTTTGCGAACAACTGGCCAAGGATCGCATTTTGCCCTCCGTAATCATATTCAGTCAACCATTGTGGCGGGAAGCTGACACGATCTAGATGTTCTTTTCGACCCTCCCATTTACACAGGCGCCATACGTCTCCATTATTCTGTTTACCATTCTCTGCGCGGCCTTTTATGCGAGCGGAGGAATGAGCACCACCGTCGTCTCCAAAATGTGTGTCTTTGACTTTGGTTTTCCATTATCGTACTAACTTTTTCAGGTTCTCCCTCGTCTGGCTAACCCTTATGGGTGTTTTCCCGTTGGTATTACTTCTCCTGCGTTTCAACCGCGGTCGCCTACTCCAATCCGGCCAAACCACCACCAGGACGCGACTATCCACCATCTTTTTCGCACTTTTGATTACCTGCGTGGTGTTCGCAGGAAATGTCGCTATCGATGTATCGACAGCCAGGTTTGTTGTTATTCTCCGTGTTCGTTTTGTTCTATTGACATCCTGGTAGATATTTTGCGGCGTATCTATTCGGTGTCCTTCTGGTGTTTGGTGCCACACAGAACCAGGTTAGGATGCTCAGAGCCGTGTATTGGGTCTACGACCAGGTTTGGGGCTTGTTGCTCTTTCACTGCCTTCTAAATCGAATGCAGTATCCTGCTCTACATGGGCGCTCTCGTCTCGGTCAACGTATGGTCGGGCTCATGGGTCGACTACGTCAACAGCCTGTTTGCGTGCTTGTCAAGGGGGATGAGGTCCGTTTCTCAGATCTTCAGGAGAAATATATACTCACGCAGATGCTAGATTAACCTGTTGTTGCATATGATCATCTACGTCCGCGACAACGAGGAGACTTCATGCATCAAGCTCGTCCATTTCTGTGGACGAGGAGACGAAGAAGATGCCGTTGGTGACGACCAGGTACCCTCCGAACTGGAGGCCAACGCAAAAAGTGTGTTCTTCTTCTTGTTCATCTACATATACTGAGTACAATATTACAGTTCTAGACGAAGCCTTTCCCGAGATAACTATCGATCTAGTGTGCCTCTTTTCTTGTATCTACCTCCAGTCATTAACGACCTGCGTCAGATTATTGTACAAGACACGTTCAGCAGCAGCTCCGTCGGGGCACTGGCCAAACGGCTGGAGATCCCGACGGCGCTGATGTTTATGCGGTGCCCCGGCCCGCGGTTCCCTGCGTCTGTGGCAGAGATGGGGGTGCGGATAATTTCGAGGTGAGGGTGAATTGCAGTGGTGGACCACGAATATAACTATATGCATTTGCATAATGATTTAACGCATACTTTACGAGCTGTAATGATATTTTAGATGAAGTACATACATACCTGAGCGAGGCAAAAGAACTGAGCCAATAAAGGAAATATGCACACGGCCGGAATCGAATATCAAACGATGCATTCAGTGTTCTGTTTTAGGTGCTTGCTAAATTGGACAGATGGAGAATATACGCAGTCTAGGTTACATAACCATAGACAATCAAGGCCTATCTAAATTCGTTTGTGTATGTTCACGAGCGTGGCTTCAAGACTACTACTCAGCTCACTGGTTATCGTGCAAACACGGAGCAGGCCGGACTTAGCCTCGATGATAAATTGCGAATCGAGGGACGCCTCTCGAAATCTTTTTCAACCCACAGCCTGATCAAACTGAGCGATTCCCGTTTCATGCCACCGTGGTCCTCGCTTCCTGAGATAAGAGCCTCTACTTCGCCTAAGTAAGACCGTTGAATTGCGTTATCCGCAGGCTGCGCCGTTATCTCTGCTTCTAGAGTTGGGAACGAAGTCCAACCCGGGCTCGCGTGCAATCTTAAGCCCTTAGCGGTATGGACGCCGCCCGACAAGGACATCATTCAGACCATGCCCAGCCAGGGCGAGAACCGCCACCTGAATTCCTTCCTTCAGGCTTGCGCTTCTCTTGTGCGCGACGGGAAAGAGGGCGAGCACACCCTCATGTCTGAGCTGCGAGCCGCGAAACATATCGTGGCCCATCCGTCCGAAACACGCGTCTATCGCGTTGCCCCACATCATCCGCAGCGTCTAACTGGCTACCCCACACTTTGCGAATTCAATTTACCCCGCATTCCTGATCACGATCCATGCCAATGGTGACTGATCTCCGCCCCTTCCGCGCACGCTATTGGCTGGCTGTCATCTGCCAGAGGTCATGGGGCCGCGGCCAAGGTCATCTGGGCATCCAGAAGATTCTGCGGAGTGAATTGAGAGAGAATGACGCGATGGGATACGAGAAGTAACGAAGCAGACTGAGAACGAAGAGCTAGGAGTCGTGTGCATGGTATGCGAGGCAACAACGAGGTTCATTGCGACAACAACGACGACGACTACTGTACATGGTAATGGTGTACACAAAATGCTGGGGGGTTGTGAATTGGGTTTATTTATTTCGATTCAGTTGACGAGGATTATACGTGGATTGCGGTTACGAGGGGGGAGTTCAGATGGCAGTCTGCGGAGGCGTTAGCTTATTTAGCTCAGGCAGGTATGGACAGAAAACGGACCTGCTTGGGAGGGGAGCCAGAGAGGGCGACACTGGTACGAGCAATAGCAGCAAGGTCGGCACCTTCCTTGAGCGCGTTCATGCGGAACTTGCGGGCAAGGGCGATGTCGGTCTCAGTGGCCATGGGGGAGAGAGTGGGGCTTCTTGGGGGCGACTAAAAGAACAGCGCTATAAGCAAAGGAAAGCAGAAGGGAGGCCAAGACAAAGACATACCTTCGTCAGAGCTGCTCAAGCTGTCGTCATCACCAAGGGAGCTGGCGCTGTCCTCGCTGACTTCGCGGTGGAATTCCTCGAGTTCGGCATGGCCGTCGTCCATTCCGGCGAATTCAAGATCGCGCTGAAAGAAGGAAGTCGTCGTAAGCAATGACGACGATGACGATGGTGCGAAGAAGACTGACCTCGTTCTCGAGACTGCCCCAGTTGTGCGCGCCACCGCCGTTCTTGCGCAGAGCTCCAGAGACACCAGTCTTGTTTTCAGAGCGGTCTTTGAGCACGGAGCGGAGAGAGGCGGAGCGGGCGGTGCGAGTCATGGTCGTGAGAGGTATGAGGAGGAGGGGAGATTGGTAGGTCGTGAAGGGGTTGAGGAGGTGGAGTTGGTTCAGTGGTTGGTGGAGTGAATGGAAGATCAGCCTCACTCGCGTGCCCTTTATATACCCCTCTCCACTCCGACCCCAAAGTCACACCACTCCTCACACAAAAGAAGCCGCTGACGACGACTCACACCACTGCCATATGCTCGCTTTTGTTGCCGTCCGTAGCGACGCTTCTAAGAGCCCCATTATTGTCTCCAGCGCGCTCGCGCCCGTGCCCTCGTCAGGTTCTGGGCCTCGTCGCGGCGTGACGCAATCGCGCCAGGAAAGAGTGCCATGGCCCCCGGATACCGCTTTCGGCGTTTACCAGATCCTTCCATTGATCAATCTTCCCAGGCGGGTCCGTGCGCGCTGATAGCCAATTGTGAAGCAACGGCGAGCGCACAAGCTCCGTTCCAAGCGACCCTTTTCTGACTCGATATTATTATTGGCGGCAGACGCCCTCACGCGACAATAGCGTGCCAATTGGCAACCGTGGCTCGCTCCGCTTTTGGCTCCGTCCGTTGAACAGGCCAGTTGCTACAGCCTCCGCGGTGACATCTGTGCCAGGGTTTCACCAGCAAGCGGAAGACTTCGCCACGACGCGGACGAGGGTACCGTCCCAGTCAAGGCCAGTCGAGACCTCATCGAGACCATGCTCGGAGATGCTCGGGTGATGTCGGAATCAGCCGGAGATATTCGGCCAATGGAGCCCAGGTCCCGGCTTTAATCGGACCAAACTGGATGGTCTCGATCGGCTAGCTGACTGGAGGATTTGACTTGCTCGCATCCGAATAAGGAGCCTACTTCTTCCCCACTATGGAAGCTCCACTGTTCGCTGCTTCTTCGGTAGCACTACTTACTTACTCCTATAGTATCCTAGTGCTAAGGACTAGTATCGTGAGCGTCATCTCTCACTCCGAGTCTTTTTGCGCCTCTCCACAATCCTCCGCGCCTCGTCAGCACTCCTCTTGTCGCCCCAGTTGATTCCTCAACCTGTAGCATGTGCTTGGAAGCCTGCATCCGATGCTTATTCGACTGCTGCCATGCGGAGGCAGGGGTCTCTTGCTGTGCTCGTCATACATCGAAGTACCCTAGCGATGTCCCCAACCCTCAGGGAAGCAGCATCTGGGGTGTGTTCTGTCTGTCTCAGCGGCCGTCGGACGGCGGCACCGTCACTGTCGCTTCAGGCTTCTCGTACTAACTATCCTACCAGCTCTTTTGTGCGGGCGCGGCAACGGAAAGCAGGATAACTTGAACAGGATCAGAGGACGCAAAACGGAAAGCACAAGGTCGTCATCCATCACATTGACTGAGCAGCCTGGTCCGAGTAGAGAGATGCCATCTATCTTGTTGACTGTTGTATAGCATCAAGTATACATGATAGTAGTTACACTGCCCCGACGGGCATGATTCGTGTTGGTCATATAGCGAGTCGGCTCGGCGCTTGGCCCCGGGCAGCGCGACACTCGCGGCAATACTCTTTGAGGCGGTCGTTGTCCCGCTCGAGATTAGGGCCAAAGTTCTGGTGAAGAAGTTATATCAGAAGGGCAGCGAAATCTAGATGCGAGGCCTACCTTGGTACACGTAGAGTCGGTGCAGCCATAGCGATGCAGGCGAGACTTCTCGCAGGCGTAGCTGTGGCAGTCGACGACCATGACGACTGTGTGGACTTGGTAATGCTATCGGTTCGCCTTCAGCTGTTAGTTCGAGCATGAAAGAAGGAACCATACACCACAACGCATCCAACGAGTTCCGTCTCTGGATAAAATGATGAGAAATGTGAAAGACCTGCAGTCAAACTCACGTTATTTGGCGGCACATTGTGGAAAGAAAGCGACGAAGAGATTGAGTATTGGTGAGGGAGTGGGTAGACTTTGAGATGGTATGAAAGAGTGTCGTTCTGTGCTGCTTTTATAGGCGGCAGACCAGAGTTCCAAGCGTCCGGACGAAAATCCATCGGTGGGCATGATCATAGCGTGGGACAAACTGGCGAATGTCCCAAGCATTGTAGAAAGGCTCAAGCAACATAAGTATATTCAAGTTCATGATCGAACGGAAAGCTTTAATCGCTCTCGCTCTCGCTCTTTCCTTTTTCTGGCATATCCCGGTCGTCGGGCAAGAAAAACAGTGGCTGCAGCAAGAATAAGCGGAGATTACTAGCTAGGGCTAGGCGCATCAACGCACCGTCGACCTCGCCATTCTGCTTTTGCTTGAGGAAAGCATCTGCAATCATCCAAAAGTTGAGCCCTTCCCGAGCGCCTTCGTCCCACCTGATGCGCTGGCAAACGACAACGCGTGGGTCGTTGAGGATGAGCGGCACCACATTCCGCGCGATAGAATAACCGTCGGCCTCACGGTGGCACTGTATAACGAGTGCACAGAGCTTCGCGTTTGAGTCCTCCAGAAGCCGCTGTGTGTTCATCCAATCTGGGTTGAAGAGTGCTAGATGAGTTAACGCGGGGAGGCCGACGACGAATGTGAATATGTTCGAGTCTTGGAAAGCCCATTGGTTGATGAGCTCGAGATGTGTGAGGGTGGCCCAAACGGGCAATACTGGGTGCGCCATGTTGGCCAGGGACATCGTTGTCGAGTCCATGCTCACAGTGTGCACATGGCGTAGTCGGCCAAATGCGGCAAAGATGGGACCAAAGTCGACCGTGGTACCGATGGCAATGTGTGTTGTATCCGGGGCAAGGGCCAAGATGTCTGCTGGTCGATATGCTTTCCGTCCAATGATGATTCGCCGCACGGAATGCCTGAAAAAGTCGGCAGGTTTGGAGTGGGAGAGGGAGAGGAGACGCTCGGATGTGAGCTTATCGCGAAGAATCAGGGTTCTGTAGAGCCATGGCTCAATCCTTGTAAGTGTTTCAGTATAAGTAAGGATTTCCTACAATAAGAACATGAATACCAAGTGCGCACGCGAGCAGCGACATGGGCAAGGGAGGATCTTGTCCTGGGATAGACCTCGGCCACTAGCTCAAATATCGCACGCTCGAGTTCTGGTGGAAGTCGAGGAGGGTTGTCGGTCATGGCGGGAGGACAAGTGCCGACGGATGTGGGAGGATCTGATGACTCAGCACTGACTCAGCCATCACCTTTTCCCCCAGCCAGCGATGTCGTTGGTGCCTTCGGGGTTGAATCGAGCTTCATAGTGCTTGTCATGACTCGGAAGATGTCCCAGGTTGGCGTTGTTTCCATTGCCGTCAAGTCAGCCAGCTAACTATGCCCAGTCACAATGGCACAATTTTAGCCTGTGGAATTCGCGCCAAAAGCTTTCGGCGTTCGCGCAGCCCGACCTTTAATCTAGCACCAACCAGTGTGGTATATGAAGCGCCATACAAGCCCATATCTATGCATCAAGTCATTCATATGCCTAGTTCGTCCCTCAAGGTGACTTGATGACGCCGCGCTCACAATACGGCTGCCAGGCTCGGCTTTCACGCTATATATGGTTTGGGACTCCATTCCTGGAGCCCTCACCCTTCGTCTTCTCCACCATGCCGCGCAACTACGACTACGAGAATGCGACGTTAAAGGACTTACCCAAACACTGGGATGCCGCAACGAACAGAGTAGTCTCATGGCTGGTGCGTTTTACCGGTGTCCCCTTTGTCATAAGCCTCCCTCATTCACAACAGCCCTCTTTATCCCGCCCATATCCCCTGGAGAACCTTCTCGGCACATACACACTCGTCGCCGCCCGGAACCAGCCCAAATCTCTCTGTGAAAACAGTCCCGGCTCCCTCGGGAGCCTCACCCTCGACCTATACGCCGGCGACCGTCTTTCCTGGGAGAATATCTCCGGCTCCTTCTCCCTTGCCAACTCAGCACTTGCAGCGAGCGGCCGCTTTCTCGGCCTCCGTACCCCCGAAGTCAGCCCCTTCGATCGAGCCTCCTTCAGTGCCACGGGCATAGCCCGCCCCACTCTCCGCTCCTTTGAGCTCACCACCTCATATATGGGCACGGTTCCACCGACAGGCCATGGAATAGAAGTTCTGGACGTAGTCGACCATAATGGCCACAATTATGTCGCACTAACGTTACAACATGCGAGTGGTATTACTGGGTCCAACGGCACGGTTTACCTCGCAAAACGGGTGCCTGCGGGATCGTGTGGGAACTGGACCATTCCGAGCGTCAGAAACTGGGTGTGGGGTTAACGTTTGAGGAGGTGGAGGCAACGAATGTAAACGAGGGTTAATATTCGTGGGGAATATTACCAATCCTACTTATTTTTACCGTCGTTTGTGCGGTCGGCCGTCGGCCCGTCGGGCTCTCGTTCCGAGTCTGTGTACGGCAACTGACAGTGACGACAGCGCAATGCCGATCATGATGTGGCCGCACAAACAAAGAGCGGACGCCGGCGGGAGTTATGACTCGTTTTCGCTTGTGTGCTTTGACTTTCGCTCTCGACATTGACAATCCGTCTCTCGCTAGCCGGCCATCGCGCTTTGACGACGGTCGTTGGTGGTTGGATATATAAGCTCGTGCTGCACCGACTGCCAGCCTGAGTGCGAAGGTACACAACTTCAGAGTGCCAGTGTTCCTCTTGTACCCTTCCTCCCAACAACGAAAACCAGAACCTATAACACCCAAGACACCCACGTCCCCTCACTTCAAATATGTGCCGCCGCATCGCGTATGAGCATATCCCTTTTGACTGTTTAATGTTACTAACCCTGCCCTCAGTGAAGGAACCCGCTGGACCCGCTGCGGCGTGCGTGCTCCTGCCAAGATTTCTCTCTCCCTGCTTATGCCATCCACAGCACTTCCAGCGCCACCTCATCGTTGCCATCGTAGACTGCGATCGCCGCGACTGCGAAAACTCCCAGCGCCACCGCCGGCCCTGTGCAAACCACACCCGATGCATCAAGGTGGGCCAATCTTTGATCATGTACCATGCGTGCCTGCGACTGATGTTTGTGGGTACAGAACTTTGGCGAGCAAATAGATCGGGACGTCGATGCGGTCGATGACTTCTGCTGGGTGTGCAAGGCCGCAGCGGACCGCCGCGCGCGCGGTCTCAATTATTAGATTCATTTACCTGACGAAGTGAATAAACTGTGTACTAATCAAGGGGGGTTCAAGTCTTGAATCATGGATATAGGGTCGGAAAGTTTTTTTCCGACCCCTGGGGGACCCCCCCCTCCCCCCCTCCTGCCATATCAGGTAATATGTTCCCACAATTTACATCATGTGACCACTGATGCGATCAAAAAGTGGGATAAAAAATTCAATCTTTGTGAAACTTTTTTTTGCAAAATTTTTATATATGTGTATATGTATTTGTGTATGTATGTATGTACCTGGAACCTTCAAACAGACATAGCAGGCCATATCAACTCTTCAACATGTTCACCTCTCATCAATTACCTGTCCATGGACCTATAACAGAGTGGGCTATCCAAGCATATGGGCCTGAAAGTATATAGATATAAGTATGAGGGTTGTGAACTATAGAAATTGGAGTGTATACACTATATTTTCAGTGTCTTTACACCCATATAAGGCCCAAATCTTTCATATACAAAAAGTTTTTTTTTACCCCCCCTGGGACCCCCCCCTCCCCCCTACCCCATGTGCCTGATAAGGATCTTGAACCCCCCTTGGTACTAATAGTCGTCCACTAAGGAATCGTCGTTCACAATTTCATTGTCTTCTTTTCATAAAATAGTTCCTCAACTTGTAAGTTATTCAACTTGAAGCTTCATATCGTGCTAAAAACGCTGCGAAAGCACATTGGTGTTTGGAATCGTTGGTGTCCTGAGTATCTACAGAGCGGATAAGCAACTTCTGTGGTGGTAGACAGTACTGGTGTGTTGTGCTTAGGCAAGGATTGCTGAGTTCCACCCGCGAGGTGTGCTGCCACCTGTCATGCCCACTGTTAGCCTCTAACTAGAGGGGTTTAGGCCAGTGGCCGGTGTGCTCTTAGGATTCCCTACAAGTTAGTGGACATGGCTGCTCGCTGGGGGCCCAAGTCTACTGAAAGTTAGTGGTCCTTTCCTCTGCTCATTAAACCTCTTCTCAGTGTTGATCTCGACATTGCCCGACCTCCCGCCCACTGTCCCGATCTGATGGCACATCAAAATATCAAAGTTTGGCATCTTGTCTAGATAATCTCAAATGTACAAGCGAAAATTGAAAATACATAATATTAAAGAAGATATGATATTTTTGATCTGATGATCTGGGATCAAAAAAATTAACTTGTAGAGAGAACCATTCTAGTCCATATAGTAAAGTAATGAAATGCATAGGTATACTCCTTAATAAGATATAGGCTAATGATGTATAATATTGCTGTCTATCAGTGTGTCTATAGTCAGACTTATGGAATGTTCTTATTAATACAGGGAATTATACATAAGGTACGTCTAAGAAACTGTATGGCCTCTATAGTGTACTAGCCACTAGCATAGCTGTATGGTTTATATGGTGTTCACTAACTTTCCTAGGTCCAAAGTTAGTGAACATCATCATAGTGAATGACCTCTATATCTATACACTAATGTAGAGTCTGTATAGCCCTATATATCTCTCTAGAGTAGTTATGGTTATTGATATTTATATATTATCTAACTAGCACTATGTCCACTAACTTTGCTAGGTTCAAAGTTAGTGGACAGCTTACCTATATCAACCAATGGAACTGAGGGTATGTATCCACCCAGAGGGTCCATATACCACATATATAAAAGTATATACTAGTCCTGGACTCTACTGAGCTATGATCAGGATCTGGTGTAGATGTCCACTAACTTTGGTTCCCTGAAAGTTAGTGGACATCTTACCTGTATCAACTAGTGTAACTGAGGGTATGTAGCCACTCAGAGGGTCCATGTACTATGTACATAGAAGTATATACCAGTCCTAAACTCCACTAGACCATGATCAGGATCTGGTGTAGATGTCCACTAACTTTGCTAGGTCCAAAGTTAGTGGACATCTTCTCTATATCAACTGGTGTAACTGGAGGTATCTACCCACCCAGAGGGTCTATATACCCGCTATGTAGAAGTATGTACTAGTCCTGAACTCCACTGGACTATGATCAGGATCTGGTGTAGATGTCTACTAACTTTCAGGGAACCAAAGTTAGTGGACATTATACCTATATCAACTAGAGCAACTGGAGGTATATATCCACCCAGAGGGTCCATATACTATGTACATAAGAGTATGTACTAGTCATGGACTCCCTGGGATCAGGCTGGGAAGACGCGTCATAAAGGAACTCGCCATCTGGAATGACATGAGCCTGAGGCATGGAACATATCGTTTGGGACCCACCAGGCGAAGTCCACGGCTGGCCTCCCTGCCAACCTCCGCCCCATTCCCCAATGGCGCTGCCAGGGTGCGAATACGCCTCCCCTCCGGAGTACAGCGCCGCGTTGTACCAATCGATTTCGTTCACCCCCGCCAGCGGCTCTGCTGGAAACCCAAACTCCATATTGTATTGCGGCGAAGGTCCGGCCTTTCGAATTCATACTGGTTACTACTCGTCGGCCAGCCCTGTGTGAATGGAGTGTGGAAGGCGGCGGTTGGTGAATGATGAATGGCGGGAAGTCCATTGCCGGAGGGTGGAGGTGCAGGAGTAGAGGCCGGTGGCCCCTCAACGCCGGAGTGCCAGTGTCTCGTCGACGCTTGCCCGCTGTGAACGGTGCCAGTGCAAGCGGGAAAGTTCATCGGGCGAAAGAAAGGACTAAAGTTTGGGTCGGCGTATTCGCAGTCGAGCCCGCGTTGTCTACATTGCACGCAGGGAGCGATCAGGTTGACTTCGTCGGGTTTGCACTGGGCTCTCGTGAGTGAAGACGCGAAAATAACCGAGCCTGCGTACCCTGACTTTTCTCTTGCGGCAAGTGAGGCAAGCCTTGACGATCTTTGTAGACGCTGCGCGTGGTTGGGGACCAGTGGGTTTATCACTTGAGCCTGCGATTACTTCGCTGGTCGTGGAGGACATCGGAAATGGTGTGGGTGCCTGTTGTGACCACTGTAGTAACTTGTTAGGATTCACATGTGACCGCGCGGATCAGCGCCGGGCGCATCATGGTGCCGCGTTGCGTACGAGTCAGCACATCAGTCAGCGCAGAGTCAGGGATGGAAGATTATATATCCTGCCCCCGTTGCAGACCTAGGCCAGTTCCAAGAGAGTGATTATTAGTACGTATTAAATCTGACATAATGTGATGAAAAGAGTTGGTGTAGTTTTGAGGTGTGGGGGCCGGTACGGATACGGTACAGTCCGTACCACCGTATACGGCCGTACGCTACGGGGTCGCCAAGGAGAGTGAGAAGGGAGGTGCTGGTCAGAGGAGTTGAAGGTCATTGAGACCTGGAGAACATCCTAGCATGTACGCGCGGTGGGCAGGCTAAGTTAAAGCCAGGACTGGGGGTCGGGAACCGGCGGTGACAGTGATCCGGAGGGGAAAGCAACACCGAAGCGAATGCCGCCGGTGATCCAGACATCACCAGCTGAAACAATGTCGTCGGAAATCTTGACCCGGTTGATGGGTTCCCGAGGCCGCCGAAGCCATCAACCGTACACGCCGTATACGGGCCGTAATACGGGATACCGGTACGGCATCATACGGTCACCGTCCCGTAGGTGACCGTACCGTAGCTTACCCAAAATGCTGATACGGATACGGTTACGGCGGCACCGTACCGTAACCGTACGCCGTACAGTACGGTCCGGTGCCGATCCCTGGCTAATTCGTCCTAAATGGAAAGAATTAGAAGAGAAATATCAGAAGATAAGGACTAGCAAACCGCTTGCCGCCATGCCCACTGCCCCGACATAAAGTCTTGATAGGCAGGATTCCCCAGTTGACGATGTATAATCTTGCGGGCATAATGGTGGTAGACTCGATATGACTGTCGCTTCCATCGTAAGAGATGTCGAAGGCTGGCCACGTTCCATGGCCAGTCTCGGTCGTGTCGAAAGTGTCGTACAAATCTTTGTGGTCACGGAAATGTCCTCATGAGAAATCTCCATGAGCTCGTCGATCTCGCCCGCGGACCGTATTTGGACCTTGCTATAGACGAAGTCCGCCATTCGAAATGCGCCGACCGTCTCATACGGCGATGTGTTATTGTCGGAGGGAACCGTTTTTGTGCGGTTTGCTGGCAGGATCAATGAAGTCCCCCTCATCGCATGGACGGCCTGCAGACATCGAGTTAATCATTGCGCGGGAATGATACCAGGCATGATAATCTACCCGCACACCGTGCTTGTGAATCGCATTGACATCCGCATCTGCTTCGAGCTGAGCATTGTTGTCGCGAGGTATTCGTCGAATAACGCTCCTTGCTCTGGTAACTCGGAGCCAAAGCGAGGATGCACAGGCGGAGAAGGCGAGGGAGGCTGGCGAATGCCCAGATGGATCGAGTTAACAGGTTTGTTCATCCGGAGGATTTCTTGAAAAGCTGCTTGTGGCCTTGTTGCGAGTAAGCATCGGAGGAGATGGTGAAGAGTGAGTCGCAATCTTCTTTAAGTTTAAGTCACGAATGCCCAGTCTCCGAAACTTCACGGATATTGCCAAGCCACGGCCTCCTATCACGGCAAGTAGAATGCGTCATCCGGCCCAGCGGCCGCCGCTGCGTCAAAAACCCTTGAGCGTTCATCGCAGCGCCCACTGTGAAGGCACAGACACGACACAACGAACGCTTCATGGCCGGACGAGCGAGCGAGCCCTGCGCGCAACTCCGGATGATCGCCAGTAACATGATGGGCGCCTGCTCCGTCTTTCTGCCACCGCTTCCTTCCTCTTCTCCATGCTGGACGGCGCTATGGCACACGCAGGACCCGCCCCAGCCATCAAAGGGAGTTAGACGCGGCGGGGGGGCCGTATTGCAGTCTTGGAGGACAAGATTTGGGGAGAAGACACTGCCGTCAACAGCATAATACATATGTGCAACCAGACCACTTACCCATACACAGGCCGCCATGCTGCGAGAAACTCTGCCTGTCCAAAAACAGACCACAACGCACCCGAAGATCAAGGTGCAAAGTTTTCTTGGTCGGAGCATTGCCT